GTGCGTCCACGCGCACTGTGAGACCTCATAGTAATGTTTGTGAATACTGGCGTAAATGACTTATCTAGAACTTGAGGGATAAAAAAGTGTTTTTAACTCACTGTCAGCAGTCTCCTTGTCCACGGGTATGAACTCATAGATGACGTTGTGCCGCAGCGAAGTTAGCGAGAGCAGTTTGGGGAACAGCACGCATTTCTCGTCGAACAAGTACATCAGCATGTGGAAGCAGAACGTGCAGAACGAGCCGAACACGAATGCCATGAAGAACAGCAGCAGGTGAGCTCCTGGTGACAGTCATTACCAAGTATGCCAGAGGTCGCGGGTTCGATCCCCGTACAATGCAAAATAGAACTCTGCCTGTATACCTATTAGTTTTGGGTGCTTTCAATGTCATTTAATTAGGTATGTTTTATTATAGGTATGTATTTAAAATGAAAAACAGTACCTTACAAAAAGTATATTACGAGTAGAGATGCACCGAATGTAGATTGAACCGAATACGAATGTTCGGCCGAATATCCGGTTCAAAATGTACCGAACCGAATATTCGGCCGAATCATTCGGTTCAAATTTGATTAAAACTAAAATTACCGACTAATGTTGACTCTTAAAGTTTCTATTTTGTTTTTTTTTTTTCATTTATGAACGGATGATATACAGGGTGTCCCAAAAACAATGGATAACCCTNTTTCGAACGTGAGCATATTGCGAAGCTTCCCGAACGCTGCCCAGCTGAGTTGGATTCGACGATCGACTTCTTTCTCGAAGTTGGACCTACCTAACTGACTGTAATGGTGTTTTTATGTAACCTTTTTAACGCTATTCAGGAGACAAACCTTTTGCTTAAAGCACAAGCATAATGCAACTGACTATAAATTTTTGGTGAAGATGCCAAAAATAAATACATTACAAAAACTGTGTTTTACATTTTTAATATCTTTAGAAGTGACTGAAATATTGAAGCTCAAAGTGCGCTCTTCAAACCGGAGTGAGTAGCAAGACGGCCGAGTGCTAATTATGAAAATGTGCCTTGATCACACGTACCGAGTAAACGGGCGAGACAGTAAAATGTTTACTCGGTCGAGACAGTTGGGTGAGCGAGTTACATGTCGGCCGTTTGGTGTAGTGGTTCAGAACGTGCTACTATGCCAAGAGGTCCCGGGTTCGATTCCCGGCCGGGCAGAAATTGAAATGATGAATTTTAATTTCTGTGACGGGTCTGGGTGTTACTATGTATAATATGTATGTATTTAAAAAAAAAAGTATATAAGTAGTATATCCGTTAAGCTAGCACCCATAACACAAGCATTAAGTTGCTTACTTTGGGGCTAGCTGGCGATGTGTGAAATTGTCTAAAGATTTATTATTATTATTATTCTCGGTTTACACTTTAGTATCTCGGCTCTAGGCTGGTATCAAAGGAAAGCACGGGCCTAAGCCAAGTCCGATCCCGATAAAAAGGTTGCGTTTTGTTCTTGCGGTTGTGCTGATGTCGGCTGGCTGTGATCTTCCTGGACTTGTAAAAATTTTCTTACTATCCTACACGTGTTAAGAATAGCTGCTTTCTGGAGTGATATGTAAGTAAGTGGTGGCAGGTTGAGGGTATTTAATGACTGGTGTAGCTGTTTTGGTATAACGCCTGTTGTTGAAAGTACGATGGGGACAATGTTAACCTGATTAAGACGCCACATCCGCCTGATTTCATCTTTTAAGTCTGTGTATTTAGACAGTTTTTCTGATATAGTATTTTGTAAGTTGTGGGTGTTGGGTATAGCTATATCTATTATAGTTGCTGTGTGGTTATTTTTATCTTGAAGAGTGATGTCTGGTCTATTAAAATGTGTTGTTCGGTCTGTGAGTATAGCGCGGTCGAAGTAGAGTCTATATTGGCTGTTTTCAAGGACGGGTTCGGGCACATACTTGTAATATGGTGTAGGTTTATCTGGGATCAGTTTGTATTTGTGAGCAAGTTTTTGATGTATGATATTGGCGACTTGATCATGTCGGTGTTTGTAGTCGGTCTGTACTATTGCTTTGCATGCGCCTGTTACGTGTTGGATAGTTTCTGAGCTGCTGTTGCATTTTCTGCATAAGTCTGTGGGCAGATTTGGGATCTTCATTATATGCTTCTGGTAGTTGCGGGTCTCGATGATTTGATCCTGTATTGCAATCATGAACCCTTCAGTCTCAGGGAAGAGTTCCCCACGACTAAGCCAGGCGTTCGACGCTACCTTGTCGACATTGGGTTGGCACAAGTCATGGCGATGTCTTCCGTGGAGAGATTTTCGGGTCCATTCATTAATTTTTATCTGATACATACCTAGATAGATATTTATTTAAAAAAAACTTGATTTTATAAACGTACCTACTAGCTTTTGCCCGCGGCTTCACCCGCCTAAAATTTAGTTTGTTACAGATCGTCATAAATTATAGCCTATATTATGTTATTCCGGGCCGGCTTATAAACAATAATACTGTAAAGTTTCATCAAAATCCGTTCGGTAGTTTTTGCGTGAAAGAGTAACAAACATCCACACAAACTTTCGCGTTTAAAATATTAGTAGGATTTGAATACTTGTGTTGGTTCCTTAAGATAGTACTAGTTATTTTTATTTAATTTTCAATTTCATAAAAAATAAATTTACCGTCAGTAAAGCAGCTTTTTATTTCACAATAAATAATTGGTACAAGTAGTGTCTGTTTTATTTTCAAAAACTGTAAAATACTTTCGCAATAAACTACACTTATTTAGTAATTTGAACAAAGCTGTTTATTTAAAAAAATGTTTTAATTGTTAACAATACTTTTAATATTCGGTAATTATTCGGCAATTCAACCGAACATTCGGCCGAATACGAACATGGGAAAAATATGCCGAATGTACCGAATACGAATATTCAACCGAACATTCGGTGCATCTCTAATTACGAGTATACCTACTCAGGTAGGTAATCTATCTGAATCATGGTGCAAGCCTTTCTCAGTTTGGGACTAGTGGCACTATGATATCCAAGGATATTTATTTTGTTTATGGCTTTACGAAATTTGATACATTACTAATTATTTATGCCCAAGAGTCAAGACAGTCAAATTAACGCATTAAATCTAATAAAAATTAACACCTACTCGTAATTGCATAGTCATTATCACATTGTGCAACAAACGAAAGCAAAAAAGACCTTTACTATATCTTTATAAAGGATAACGGGCCAATATTTAATTCCAATGAGTAACCTTTTCACTAGACTGAATAGAGCTATTCGCAATATTGACCTCTTGAAAACCTATTTAGAAGTAACCATGAGAAGTCATTGTAAGTAACCGTACTTTGCTCACAATTGCTTGCATTGAAGACGAATGTTATTGATCTTGACTTTTCAATTGTTACGAGTACCACTATCATAAGTAAGCAATTTACAGTGTATAAAACAGGTTAGGTCGATTTGTAAGAACTATTTATTAGTCTAAACAAATAAAGAAATTTTGACTTTGACTTTGACTCTTTTCTCTTTAAGCGCCTCTTAAGGGTGTATTTAGTTCTATTATTTACAAGATAAGGAGGAGCCTTTTCGGACAGGTAGCTGCTTGTAGCATTAACTATGGAATCACATAAATTTATGTAGAGCTTTGAATTATGAAATACCTTTCCAAGCCCCGTTGATTTCTATTTCACTTCTTTCTATCAACCTATATTCTTCAAATAAGGATACCCTGTCCATGTTGCGAATAATAGTAAGTTATCAATTTTTTAATAAACTTTTGACTTGTTTATGTATTTATTTTATTCCTTTTAACACTGGTTTGGCAATGATTTACAGACGATGCACTTTTGTACGTTAATGGGATAAGTACTTTAACAAAATTGGCACAATAATATGACCAAAATTATGACAATCATGGATTTGGACAGCAGTATTTTTTAACGTTTTGGTTGGAGTGTCAATTAATCTCACAGATAAATCTAAATAAAGGTTTGATAGCAGGTGTTCATAGATCCATTTTATTTTTTATAACAGCGATAAAACCACATAATAAAAATAATTCGGCTGTTGCCAATTGTTTTTATTATCTGAAACTTGTTATTTTGTGTGTTAAATGTATAATAAAATTGATGACCTGCCATGATAACTGTTTCTAGAAGAGTAACGATACTATATTCAATTCAATTCAATTTATTTATTTAAAGATAACAATGATCCACATGGTAAGAAAATGGGTGCCTTATACAACTATGTTAGTAATTTATTTATTATAACATATACCACTAATTTATCCAACCCGTTCGGCAAGAAGTAGCCGAACGAAATGTCGGATATTGGGAGAATCATAACTCTCCGCCACGGTCTTCAAGATACCTACTGTTGGGGCTCGCCCGTATCCTACTGAGCAACGAGGTATAAATCACTAGTGTGATTTGGGCATTATTGACCATCAACATTTAATTTGATGGGTAGGTACAATAAACACCTAGGCAAGCTGCAACTTTTACCCGATTAGGTAGTACTTATATTGAGCAGACAACATTTGCATTTAATACAGTGTATCAGATACACTGTCTTAAGGCGCTGTTCTCGTGACATCTGAGAGGAGTTAATAGCGGATAATATGACTGGAGCCATGCTTGCACATCGGAGTGTCCGGTAGAGCTGGGAACGTGTCGATATACCGCGACAAGGATTTAATTTTAAAGAAATTACTAACATTTCTGTAACTAATAATAATATGCTGATTATGTCCAGGACAAAGCCCTGAGCTCTTTTAATTCCACATGAAACAACACAAGATATACTATAAAGTAGATGAAGGTCTGCTCTACATAGTTTCCATGATTTCACCCATCTCCTTTTGCAAACGACCCAATTGATTTAGCAATATTTTAATAAACATACATTGTAATGTCTGTACGACCGTGTCTGTAAGTCATAATTAAGTAACTTTGTTTAATTCGTAAACATTTTTCCTTATCGATAGCGTAAGCGAGTCAGAATGTCGACAGCATCAATTGAAGTGTGTACAAAGCCGTCGGTCAAGCGTCAGTTAAAGATAGCAATGCCCCCGCCAACGTAACAAGCGGTATTCTCATATTTTTAGTAAATACCTAGTCCTTTTAAAAGCCATGAAAACATTTGCCATAGTGATTTTTGGATTGATTTTCGCCCAGTTAAACTACACGGCTAGTGGGTTAACTAAACTGAGTTTATCCTCTAAAAGTGTATCATGGACATTGGAAAACAAGAATGGGAGTAAGTAACCTTGCGTATAATATTTATTGACCTTCATTGATAGATGAAACAAGCACAGTTGGGAAATGTTATTTGTTTACATTGGTTGACTTTGCCGAAGCCGGTTTTGTCGCAAGTTTACACGCTGCCAAGTGTTTACATGGTAGCCGTACACCGTTATCAGGACGCAGTAGTTTAATGTTCACTTAACTATATTACTATTAGGCATTTGGTACTAGGTACATACCTACCTACTACTATTAAATAGTCGTTTGGTTTTATTAAAGAATTTATTATATTTTTGTTGCTTGGCTTCTGATGTATCCAGAAAACATTGGACGAATCGGCAGTGCCTCTTACCTAAAATTTTTAAGTGTTACCGAAAAGTGTGTACCTAGGATTAAGTATGACTATTTAGGATTAGGTGGATCTACACTGCTTTTGTCTACTTTATTATAACGAGGGTATAGGTACATTTTTTTCTTTCAAAGAAAGCTATAATCCTATAGGCCATAAGAAACACTACATTATTAAGTAGTTTAATTATACTTAGCTATAGAGTTCAACGTGGTTAGTTTGACCCGTATCTTCCGCCATTCCAGCGATCAAAGTGCCAGGGTCTGTTCCTGGAGGTGTCTACTCGGATCTGATAAAAGCCGGGGTCATAGGAGACATCCTCAAGGGCTTCAACGACGTGCTGACCAGATGGGTTGCCTACGACACTTGGACTTATACCGGGATGTTCAACGGTAATGTTATAAACGAATTTTCATTCATAAAATGAAAACAGTGCTGCAAAAATTAGAGACAACTTTCAACAAACTTATTTCGGTGTACGATGCCGGAGTTTGGCATTGGCAAAACAGAGTTCCATTAGAATCCCATGAATCGTCCAATTAGGTACGTTAATAGATAGTCTGGCAGAGCAGTCGCCCAGCATGCAAAGGCACGTGGATTCAATTCCTACCTGGATAAGTACTACCATTATCATCATCAATTCAAAAATTGGATGTTCATCATTGCTGAACATAGTTTCCCCCAATGATTTCCATATTGCCCGGTTGGTAACGGCCTGCATTCTACCTCTAAGGGGTCGTCGGTCCACCTTGTAGATGAACGTCTCACGCTGCAATTTCCCGTACGTGACCTCCTGCTGAACCTTGCTACCTCATCAGCTGTCAGTTATGCATACTATGAGCCTTGTCCATTGCCACTTCAGCTTGCTAATCCCTCGGGCTATGTCAGCACTTTAGTTTGTTTGCACGGATCTCCTCATTTCTGATTCGGTTTGTAGTTCGTTCACCAGGGAGTCTGCTATTAGAGGGGGGTCACTCATATTATTAAATAATCAATTTAAATACAAGGAAAGAAAAGACATTGTCTCACTCTCAGTCGAACGAACTATAGAACTTGCGTGTGCAGAGCTAGAGCAGTATATAATTGTAAGTGTGTACAAGCCCCCATCTGCAAATTACCAATTATTCGAATCCACTATGGAGGAGGTCTTGAAAAANTACAAATATGAGCCAGTCGTTGTAATATTATGACGTCACGCGCATAAAATGGCGGGACGGCCGCCGCCCGCACTTTAAAAATTCAATATCTTGGAAACTAATTGACGTATCGAAATAATTATTTCACGTGTATTTTTTATTTTTAACAGAGAATACAGAAAGCTAAAAAACAAAATTAGTGAACATTCTTCATTAGGTACTCGAGCGCTCGGCCGAGCACTCGGCGTAATGTTCAAGCCTTGATCACACGTATCTACCGAGTAATCGGGCGAGACAGTGCTCTCGGCCGAGTGCGTATGAACATCGCACCGAGTGATCGGCACTCACTTGTTCACTTGTTTTTGAAGGAAGAGGTGAAAACTAAAAATTAAAAACTCAAATCCTTGTCATTTTGCGAGAAGTGGGTCAAGCCCCGAATTTGAAGTATTTTCATCGATAAAATTGACCATAGATTACGCCCTTAAAGTTTGATCACTACATGCCCGGAATGCGGATACACTGTATACATAGATAGTATTACCACAGAATAATAATAAGTACTACGTACAGTAGGTTTTCTTAGCGAAGGTATTTAAAAAAATGTATGCTCAATGTCGTCAACAATATGGTGTAATTTAGCTTGTCTCAAGAGTCGAGCACCGTTTTCTTGACATAGGTCAGTGATCGGTACTGCGTCGATTCCATAGGGCTGACTTCGGTAAAATAATGTGTGACGTGATCACGTGAAGTGCCAAACTGCGGAAAATGGCGGAGGAAATACATCATTATGCATGAATAATATTTTGTGTTTATCATCAATCAGTTACATACACACCACCGTTTTTTCTACTTTCCATCATAGGTAGGTACATAGTTTATCGTCTATCTAATATAGGGTTGCCATACGTCCCCGTACGCCGGGACATGTCCCCGTTTGAAGCATGGTGTCCTGGCGTCCCGGCCGATAAGCAATTTGTCCCCGTTTAAAAATCATAGTTATTTAATAGAGGGCTGGACTTGGTAAACAGTAATATACCTACGTAGAAATAAACGCGACGAACTAGCTAGGCTAATGAGGCTAATCGTACGTTGATATATAACATTGTGATAATTTTATGTTTGTTGATTACATACCCCCTTACTAATAATGGTTGTATAGTGGCGGTATAGCTATACAATGTTTTGTCCTTATCTGTCAAATTCAAATGTCACATATGATAACACTTTTTCACTGAAAATCGGAAACGAAATTATAAATTCCGATACAGAAGTTGCAACCACATTTGAGACATTCTTCTCCAATATTGCGTCTGAAACAACTAAAGAACTGAATTCATCACCAGTTCTTGCAGAGTCTCTTTTAAAATCTAATGTCACCGAGTGCCAGTGTCTGCTCCAGTTCAGGCATATAGATTGTAATACAATAATTAAAACCTTTAGAGAATTAAATATGAAAAAAACTGAGGACCTTTGGGGAATCTCCGTCAGTATAATTGGAACAATTATTGACACCATAGCTCCTCACCTTGCATTAATTTTTAATACATGTATTGATCAAGGTTGCTTTCCTAGCTTAATGAAGTTAAGTAAAATAATTCCATTGTTCAAGGCTGGTGACAAATGTGACCCCTCTAATTTTCGACCGATTTCTATTCTACCAGTACTTAGCAAAATTTTCGAGAAAATTATTTTCCACCAACTTCTATCTCACTTCATTTTTAACAAATTATTACACAATAAGCAATTTGGTTTTACGAAAGGTAGAAGTACTACTGACGCTGGGGTAGCACTATTGAAACACGTCTTTGATGCTTGGGAGAGTAAAAAGGACGCTGTTGGTATTTTCTGTGATCTTTCAAAAGCGTTTGATTGTGTAGACCACCAAACCTTACTAAACAAATTGCGACATTATGGTGTTTCGAATAAGTCACTTGATCTGCTGAACTCGTATCTCACAGGCAGAAAACAAAAAGTTTGTATTAACGGAACTGAGTCTTCTGGAGCACCTCTTACTATGGGTGTGCCGCAGGGATCAATATTGGGACCTTTGCTATTTCTTATTTACATTAATGACCTTCCTTACTTTGTAAAAGATCTGTGTGATATTGTGTTATTTGCTGATGACACATCTCTCATTTTCAAAGTTGATAGAGGTAAAGTAAATTTTGACGATATTAATAACACACTCTCACAGGTTCTACATTGGTTCACTGTTAACAACTTATTGTTAAATGCAAACAAAACTAAGTGCATTAAATTTACCTTACCTAATGTGAGGCAGGTTTCCACGCAATTAATGGTGAAGAATGAACCATTAAATAGCATAAATTCCACAACATTCCTGGGAATCACTTTAGATGCTAAACTTCAATGGGGTCCTCATATTGAAACTTTGTCAAAAAGGCTCAGTTCGGCTGCTTTTGCAGTGAGAAAGATAAGGCAATTAACTGACATTGAAACGGCAAGGCTAGTATATTTTAGCTATTTTCATAGTATAATGTCATACGGCATATTGTTGTGGGGCTCAGCCGCGGACATTGAAACTGTGTTTGTTCTGCAGAAGAGAGCAGTGCGGGCCATTTATAACCTTGGACCCCGATTTTCCTTGAAAGATTTTTTTAAGGAAATAAACATACTGACAGTAGCTTCACAGTTCATTTATGAAAACCTTTTATATGTCCGCAAAAATATAGAGCAATTCACGAAAAAGAGCGATTTGCATAACTTTAATACAAGAAACAAAAATAAACTTGCCGTTCCAAATTTCAGATTGCATAAGATTGGTAATTCATTTATGGGAAAATGTATTAAATTCTTTAATAAATTACCACAAACTGTTGTAGAACTACCCATTCATAAATTCAAAGCACATATTAAAAGTACCTTAATGAAAAAGGGCTACTATAAAGTCGATGATTATTTAAAAGATAAAAATGTTTGGGATACGTTACTGCCTAGCTCGCATAAATATTTATAACTTTGTACATTTTAAAGCATGTAAACCTTTGAAAAAGAGGCTGACAATAGTGACTGAGTTTCTTGCGCTGCTTCTTCTCAGCACTGGCCCATTTATTGTCCTGAAGCAGTGGTAGGGTTAATACTGGGACGTGTAAAAGTGCTTTTTTTAAGCCTATTTACAGAAATAAATGAGTTTTATTGAGTTTTTTACAATGACAGATAAGGTCAAAAGATTGTATAGCTATACCACCGGCTATACAACCATTATTAGTAAGACTAAGGGGGAACGTGTGCTAATTAAAAAATGTTGACAGATACTTAATACTTTGGTTAATGTTGATTAATACCTATTGTTGTAATAAAAGCTCCTTTTTTCTACCTTTAATAGTTTTTCTTTAAATGTCCCCGTCTGAGTCCCCACACTTATGGCAACCCTAATCTAATACAATGCAAATGGGTGAAGAATACACGTGCGTACGTCAATGCTCGCTCTTGAGTGTCCTGTCGATTAAATATCCCAGTAGGTGCCGTCCCGCGTCCGCGTTTTGTTTTTGATGCAGACTCGCGGAGATGAACAGAGGGCCGAGTGTGAGTTTTTTTCAAACGCGCTCACCAGTGAGCGCGTCAAAAAATGACATTTAATGTATAATGGATTGTACAGCGCCCCTAGCGGGAAACTATCAAAAACTAAAATTTTTATAAAAATTTTAATTGTAAACTCACACTCAGCCCACAGGCCATTACCGTGACCGTGGCGTCCTCTATAGACTACAGGTGTCAAAGTAGTAGATTTTTTTATTTCAATTACCTAAATTACTCGTTATTGAGGACAAAGATCTTTTAACTATTTATTATTTATTTATTTATTTATTATTCATTATTGAGCAATTACATATTTGATCCAAATAGCGTCCTAAATCCTCTTTAGGTTTGTCAACTTGTTGTTATACTCATATTAAACTAATAATGCATCGTTTTCAGCTACATACTGTCAGAAGTTGCCAAACAGAACAGCGGGTTATCGCTACAAAATCCAGTTGAATATATCGGCGAATTCTACCTCGACGGCTCTGATGGCTACACTTATCTAGTCAAATACATTCTGACAGATGTCTCGAAGGATAATAGTACATATTATACACCAGAGCAAGGGCCAGGCACACCACCACTGCTTATTGCATCCATGGTTGGCGGCTAATCAAATAACGGCTAACAAAATGAACGCTATCACTGTTTTATTTATATGTAGGTACTTAGTTGAGGAAATATAACAATATCGTTAGAAATAAGTCTGTTTTCATTTATTTCTTTTAAAACCTTCAGTTCTCATAAAAAATATAGTTAATAACTTTTTGTTATATTTATTGCAATTCGTGATGCAGTATTTATATATTTCCCGTTTTTGCAACATTCTTCTTTACTGCTCCGCTCCTATTGGCTGTAGAGTTGTGTTGTATAGCTGGGCATTAACTCGTTAATCCGTAAATCGTTAATTAACGAAGTTAACATTTCTATTAACGGATTAACTTTTAAGTTAACTTTAAAAAATGTTAACGGACTCGTTAACTTCCGTTAAATTATCCTAAGTCGGCACGATGAAAAACGCGTTCTGACAAGTAGGTACGTTCGGGCTTCTAGAACTTCCAGAACCCAAAATAACAGTTTTTGTAACCAGATTCGTCGAACGCAACGATATGTCAACGTAATATCAGGCCTGTTCATCTCCGCCAGTTTACATCGAAAACAAAACACGCACGATGGCCCACCTACAGGATACTATTCGACAAGGCCTCACATACGAGCGAACATTGACTCACGCACGCGTATTCTTGTGTATGATGGAAGAAAATAAAGAAAATGGTGTACCTACTAAATGAGTATTTCTCAAAAAAAAATGTACAATCTTTAAAAAAAAAAGTGTGCTTTGAAACAGTTCAAAAGTTTTATATTTATAAATCATCACACAAAAAAACACACACACAATTTTGAAGGATGAATATTAATCTACACTAATATTATAAAGAGGAAAACNTTTATGATCGCGTAAACAACGAGCTGGATAAGTATATCATTAATTAAAAGAATATGGTATATTTCCAGTAACGGAAGAGCAGCTCAGTTCAGCAGTAGCGCACTTAGTCCTGCACGGCGTAGACACTTATTCGCAGATAAAGTTGAATGACCAAGTACTTCACTATACAAACGATATGTTCTTCAGATACGTGCTTGACGTTAAACAGCACTTGAAGGTAATTTTGTAATACAGGTAGGAGTAACAGGAGCGTTTATTCACTTAAGAGCGGGCCTCAGTTTATTTGTTTGAATTTGATTAACTTTTTAAAGTGAATGTAAAAGATGGTTTTAGACTTTTGTTCGATTGTTTTTTATTTAGATATAAAATTGAAGTTACGAGTATCTGTCGCTTTTTCACAGTTTATTTATCAGTTTTGATTCATTCAAATTACATCTATGAAATTTCCATTTCATGGTGTTAAACTAATGTCCGCGTCAATAACGAGTTTTATCTACTTTCCTGACAATTTTAACTAAGTAGATGCTACCGTTCCATACTTAACAGCTCTACTTGTAGTGAATTTTTATTACACTAATTTCAGGTGGGGTCTAATGAACTGAAGGTTAAATTCTACTCACCTATTGTGGCCGCTAAAGAGCGTTCAGATGACCACTTCACGGCACCGAACTGTGTACCCCCGGAGTACAATGGCGAGTGCCATGTCAACCAAATTAGGAAGATGCAAGCGTCATTTGCCTGGGATTGGGGGCCAGCTTTCCCCTCAGTTGGTTTATGGTAGGTGAATTGACTTTGTATCTACATATAACATGCTGTATAATCCGATCAAGTTAACTGCACACCTGGCTGGGATGCGACTCTCCCTCGCACACCTCCCCGCGTTCGTCCCGTCCGTACCAGAGCGTCGATGGATGTCACGGCAGCCAGATGCGCAGTTAACCTGACCTGTCTGTGTTTTACGAAAAAGTGTAATGATTAAAAATACTGGTTTATTTTAGGAAAGCAGTCGAAATAGAATTCTATGATACAGCAATCCTAAGAACCATGATGGTACACTATGTGAAGAGAGACAAGTATTGGGATTTGATGATAACTACCCTCATAGAGTCGAAGATGGTTGCCAGCCAAATCAATGTGACGGTCAATGCGGGAATTAAACTTGAAGGAGACCAGACAGAGCATGTCCAGAGGATGTTCACCGTGAACTCCAGGGGCGATGGACACGCTGAAGCACGAATAAACATTACTATAAGTGAGGTATATCTATCTACCTTAGTTTTCTTACAGTCTGTGCAGGCAGAAAATACAATTGACTGAGTTTTCCAGCATCCTTTAAGAATATTAGAAGTACTCGTAGAATGTAGTTGCTTTAACAATTTCAGAATACCGTAAGATTGTGGTGGCCGAACGGTTACGGAGACCAGGCCCTTTACGACTTGTTTGTCAAAGTCTGCACCACTGGAGACCGCCCGGAGTGTTCTGCAAGACGTAAAAGAATCGGGTTTCGTACGGTGAAACTCATACAAGCTGATGCCTCGACTAAAGTACCAAGTGAGTATCAGTTCCAGGTAGTATATCGATGGGTGCCTGGAACAAAGCCGCAATAGCCATAGCAGCAGTTTTCCGATTAAGTGATTTTAGTAAACTGCGGGTCCCTATACACCTTTTGAATTTTTTTCAGAATTTTATCTTTGAAACTGCCTGATTTACCAAAAGCACTATGGATATTGAATCGTTATTCCCATTCACCATTTAAAATTTGTTGACCGGAATAATCGTGCCATATACAATGTCAAAACTTTTATTTAAATCTTCTACAAGCAAACGGCTATTACTGTATCCTTCAGATCAGCGCCCGAGGCTGCAATACACTATTGCTGTTTGATTAATTGCACACTTTTTACCGGAATAAAACCACAATGGACTCTTACGGAACCGACTTTCAATGTATGAAGCGGCAATATGTATTTCTACCTTTTTTAAAGTATATTCTAAGCACTTTAACCTTATGCACATTCAATGTTACTCCAGAAAAAATAACGCATCGTTTGTTATACAAACCGTTTTGATACGCCTCGTAGTTTAGAATTATTCAAAATTGACACTAAATCTCTTCTCCTGTAAAATTGTGTTTTGACGATTGCGGCTTTGTTCCAGGCAGTCATTATTAGGTAAGAGGAGAACCTATGTATTATTAAAGGCCGGCCGATCTATTCTCATAAATAAAACACTGGATACTCATCTTTCACATTATATTGCCTTATTTTAGATACAATTCATCACTTAGCACAAAAGCGCGCGGAGTCGTCTCCGCGCGTCCCTCTATTCTCTGACGTTTTATCCTCGTGTGACACTGACGTATTGTCAATGTCACTATGACAGCAACTCATTGGCCACAACTATATCGTTATTTTAACGTTTTAGATTTTTCATAATTAACAGTATGAGGGTTAAATGAGTTTTACATAATGTATTCTGTGTTAATAGTACCAACGTATATTTCAGACAACAGCAGTGCTGGTCATGGCTTGACCTTCTACTTCGAGGTCAACGGCTCGCCTCTGTTCATGAAGGGCTCCAACTGGATCCCGCAGCACATCCTACCCGAATACAGCTATGAGAGATCGCGGAGTAAGTATAATTCATTATTCAGTGGATAAACCCTCCTTGTTGTGTAGTGCCACTGCAAGTTGCCTTAATCGTAGTGGGTCCTAGCTGGTTAGATCCACATCGATATGCAACAAATTGTACTTGACTCTTAACTTCATTTGCATTCAATAAAGCAGTTACTGAAAGCCGCGATTGACGTCAAAATGACGATGCTGCGATGCTGGTATCTCATGTAATAGTTACTATATGCCAGTGGCGGCGTAGCATGGGTTGGTACCCGGGGCGATCACCCCCCCCCCCCCCTACCCCCATCATAAGTCCCAAGGCACCCCCAGGATTTTTTGNTTACCCCCCAGGATTTTTTGGGGTTACCTACCGATTCGAAGATTGAAAGACAAGCGCACCCCCCCACCCCCCCCATCAGACATAGACCGCAGACTTCCCATGCAGTTGCGCCTGTGAGTACTAATCTGCGCGACTTGTGTCACCCCCTGATGCTTGGCACCCGGGGCGGACCGCCCCCCCCTTACGCCGCTACTGCTATATGCAGCAAACATTTATTGTACTTGAGTCTAACTTCATTTGCATTCAGCAAAGCAGCTGCTGCAAGCCGCGGCCGACGTGCACATGTCGATGCTACGCGTGTGGGGAGGTGGTCTATACGAGAGCGATTACTTCTACCAGCTCTGCGACCAGTACGGCATCATGGTGTGGCAGGACTTGCCCTTCGCTTGCTCCATGTACCCCGTAGACCAGGAGTTTATTACGTAAGTTTTAGTTTCGTTGCTTTTTGTAGTACACTTGGGATCAAAGTAAATTTTGCATCTGGAGCTGCAGATTTCATAACCCGATTTCAGGAAACTGCCTCTCGTTTCTACCACTGCAACGCAACTATTGTATTTTATTTTATTTTTATTGTATAACTAGATCTGGTTTGCATTTGTCCAGTTGTAGATCCTAGCTACACAGCATTGGCAGCGATGGGAACGAGAGATGATGGGACGGGAGTAGTTCCCCTTTATTATTTTGATAAAGGTCGCTTTGGGACTACTTAAAGTTCTTTGGTTAGTTTTCTAAGGTTGGAAGCGTCTAGGCTTCTTTAATGTTTTTTTATTACAGCGCAGTCAAATTAGAAGTAATGCAAAATGTCATAGAGCTGCAAAGCCACCCGTGTATTGCTGTGTGGTCAGGCAACAACGAGAACGAAGCTGCTTTGCGAGGCAACTGGTACAAGACCAGCTCAGAGTTCAACAGATACCAGGCGGAATATGTAAAACTGTATGTAGAGACAATCAGACCCATCGTGGAGGATTTGGATTGGATGAATCCGTACTTAGTTTCCAGTCCATCTAATGGATTAGAGTCAGAATCGGAGGGGTTCATTGCCTTGAATCCATATGATCCTCATTTCGGTGACACTCATTATTACAATTACATTGCTGACAACTGGAACGATAATACATACCCTCTTACTCGATTTGCTTCGGAATACGGCTTCCAATCTTTGCCATCTTTGTCTACCATGAGGCAGGCAGCTGAGAAGCCAGAAGACTTCAGTTTGCAAAGTGAATACTCCAAGCATAGACAACATAGCCCGAACGGTTACATGTTCATTGAGTTACAGATGGACAAGAGATTGAAATTGGAAAAGAATGACACGAAGTACTTTGAGAAATTCGTATTCTATAGCCAGGTATGTATTGTACTATTACACAATCGATGTTAAAGGTCATGTGATCCAGGTTCATGATGATAATTTTATCGGCATAAGCCGCATAATAAGAAGTTCATAAAGGAACACTCGCTAATATTGAGGAACAAAACAAATACTAATACAGGTATCACATAAATAGTAGAGCTGATAGGTGACATAACATATTTTTGCAAATAGATTAATAAATAATTACAGGTTTCTCAAGCAATGATAATAAAGACCCAGACGGAGTACTACAGACAGAGCCGCGATTCTTGGTACACTATGGGCGCTCTGTACTGGCAGCTGAACGATGTTTGGCAAGCGCCCTCGTGGTCAGGCATCGGTTAGTATTGAGCAACTGCTTTTGAGCATTTACAAAGATCATATTTCATGAGTTAGTGTTCAGATAAATTGATAAATTCACCATGCTTACAGAATACGGGGGCAAATGGAAAATGCTTCACTACTTTGCAAAGCGATTCTTTGCGCCAGTATTAATATCGCCCGCGCTTCTTTCCACGGGGGATGTCGTCTTATATCTCCTTAATGATCGATTGGTGCCGATACTCAACGCTACAGTCTTAGTGCAAGTTTACAAATGGGACAGTTTTACTCCCGTCTACAGTCAGAACTACAGCGCATATGCCCCGAAACTTAGTGCGGGAAGGCAACCATACAAACTGAATGTAAAGAATACGGATATGAAGACGGTGTTTTTGAAATTCACGCTGATAGCAGATGAGGTTCAAGCGCCGGTTAATTTCGTGTTCCCTACACCGTTGAAGGAGATTGAAGGGCTAAACAAACCTAATATCAAGGTAAGAGCCACTTAGGGCCTGTTTACACTTTGATGGATCGTATTTTCTCAGTCCGTCTAACTAAAGAGACGGATATTATGCCAGTGGCTAAGGTTTTAATTATTATAATTTATTTACTTTTCACATTTAGATGGTCCGTCTAACGGCCAGTTCACACATGTCTCCGTTTTACTGTTCCGTTTTATCGTGTACGTTTTTAAAAACGGAGACATGTGTGAACCGGCCGTAAGTGGGAAAGGTACCTTAGTGATTTTAAATTAATATTTGCAAAGTTTAATTATGCTTAGTACATTTTTTAAATTTCAGATTCATGTTCACAGTCCAACAAAAGTTGGCAACGAATACCGGTACCAAGTCGAGGCTGTCTCAGACACCATAGTGTTGTTCCTTTGGTTGGAGGCGGACGATATAAGCGGTCATTTTGAAGATAACGGTTTTATTGTAACCGAGCCCAATATCTCCACATATTTCAGTACCAAAAAGCACATCGAGTCTAAAGAGTTGCAGAAGAAAATAACGTATCAATATTACTTGCATTAAAGCAATAATTTAAGTTTTTGGATGTGTTTTTAATTCACTACTACTGGTTCCAAGGTTTTTCTCCGGGACTACTCAACCTTTTCTTATTAAAGCTAGAGCTTTGATGAAGTTTCAGTAGTCAGATAGTTCCTTTATGTAAGTATAGTTCTTGCAACTCACAAGGTGAGTAAGCTTTACTTGTGTGTGTACGTATACATGCACATAACGATAGCGACGATAGTGTATTTATCAAAACTTTTGAAAAACGAACAGTAGCGAGCACCACACATGTAAAGCTCACTCGCCTTCGAGAATTGCAACAACTAAGAATCGGTATCACCTAAGAAAATTGATATTATAAAAATAAAACAATTTATAAAAAGCAAATAACCGCGTTTATTTCAGTTCACATTGTAATGCATGTCGTTATTACAAACTTAATATAAAATACGCGTACTGCAATATAATATACAATAAGTGCATCTAAATTAATCTTTGGACGACAATTTCTGAACTGTAAGGGCTGATTTATTGTTAGTGCATTTGTAAGTTTATAAATGACACTGGACATTCACTGAAATATGCATAAATCTATAAAATATCACGATTGATAGGGAATTCACTAAATTCAAAGTGTTTGTTTACCTTCAGTAATTACAAGAACATTTTTACATTCAGACGACATTCTAGCAATATAAAAAAAGTTGAGCTTACTCGTAGCAAATCGAGTTGGAAGCATAATCATTGTGATACGAGTTTACTGTAGTACATTTGATTACACATCAGCCATTACACACTACGAACCATTGCGGCGATTCTACAAGATCTAGAAATCGCGCTGTGCTATCAATAGTTGGAGTTTGACAGATTTTTTAAGTTTAAGATGGTGCAACTCAGCCTTAGACTAGGCGCAGACCACCGATTTTTAGTTGGGCCCGATTTTAATTTGTATGAAAAATCGGCCAAATCAAATCGGTGTAATGTGCGCACTTCCATACATGCTCATACTGATCAACTGCGCGACTATCGGCCGACGAAAAATCGATGGTCTGCGCCTAGTCTTAATTTGCTAATGTAACTGGCAAATAAAGAACTAGCGATGGCAACTAGTGTGTAACTGGACTCAGTCTCATTCAGAAGTTTACATTCATCGTCCCAATGTTAGTAATAGCATAAATACTGAATAATTGAACATGCATAAAATATTTGGCCATCCTCCATTCTCTTCATGTAAAAAAATACAAAGCAATAATTTCATATCCATTAGTAGGTATATGACCATAAAGTATAGGACAAAACAAAGTTACTTAAAAATAGCTTTCTTTAGGTACACATTTGATGGATTTTCGCAGAACAATTTTACACTAACGGTGCAATTACATCGCTACGTTATCAATTTGGCTTATGCTTTTTTTTTGTAATTTGGAAGCACAAAATGTGAATTAAGCATAAGCTTTAGTACATTTACAACATCCAATAGTTGAAAGGTTGCTTATTACTACTAATGTTACTAAACTTCGTTGCGCTTGCAATATTCATGATGGATGGATGGATAAACCATCGTTTTCATATAACTACATTTGAATTTGTGTTAGTTACTTCAAGTACTTAAATATATTTGATTTCGCATGCGTAACAATACGGGTTTTTCAATTGTTTCACCCGCAAAACTATAGTAAATAAAGCACCATTTTTAATAATATAAAATACCTTAAGCTAAATAATTATCATGTATTATACCCGTAAATTGAATCAATGGGATATTTCGGTAGATTAATATTACCAATAATATTTTCTTATTTTCCTATTCAATAGGTGTTTTTTTGAAATCGGACGATAACAATACATGTATAACGTAAAACAAAAAAATAATGTTAATAAATAGGCATTTCATAATAAATTAATTAAATATTTGGTAAAGCTAAACAGAACAACCAACATTTTTGATTTTTAGTTTAGTTAATATAAAATGAAAATGAAAGTTCTTATTAAAGAACAATAAATATTATATCTCAATCTTATATTCGTGGTATTCCACATTCATTTGTGTACCTACTTACCTTATACTTTAGAGGCTTGAAATTGTTTATGGAATTTATATCCCTCGTTTATGGATAAAAAATACATATTAAAAGTTATTAATAAATATAACTATTGTATAAAATAAATAAGTAAATAACATGCTTTTATTGTATAACAGTTTTAGTTTATAAAATAATTTCATTGGTATGGAGGCAGTATTTGTTTTTGTAGTAGCATCTTTCAATATTGTACGTTACTGGTGTATGCCATAATGATAAGATTTAATAACTAATGAAATCAGACAAATCACTTCAATCAGATCTTTGATTTATTAATTTGATAAAAATGTTGCATAAATTAGTATTTTGGTTTAACCGCGCAAGAACAAGTCATTTTCGTAATTTTCCACGAGGTTTAACCCCAGTTTATTAACGGATTTTAAACCCTTTTCTACCTGTTATTTTATCGTTACTAAATATCTCGATGTAAGTTAACTTACAATAGTGATTTTTGTCACGAATATTTTTTAACGGTTAAAATCTACGCATTCCGTACAAATTATGAATAACTTTTCATTCAAACTTTAGTATAAATGAGTCATACACGGGCAGCCCGGATTTTGCATAGAGATGGCGACATTGAGCGTTTGCATGCGTGACTTAAGTGTTGCCACAAGCGATAGTGAAAAAAGTTGCATTTTGTGGTTGCTAAACTGGTTTGTTCAAGTTGCACAATTATAATTTAGTCGAAAAATCTTATTTCGACTGATACATTACACGCAAACGCTCTCATGGGTGAGCACCTAAATGATACTAACAAGGCTAAACGTCACTGTCCACGACGGGCGTAGCATACTAAACGCATATATTCATCACTATACGCTTGATGTACACCTGCATACAAGCATACGTAAACTAAGTATATGATGACGATAGGCGTCTAAAGCCCGGTCTGGAAGCACGTAGAATTTTGTCTATTGTTGTTATGGGGTTTAATTAATAAAGCGCCATGANAATAATATGTACGCTATTTCGTGAGTCAATTAATCGCAATTTTAAAGGAATTCTACGTTTTCATATAACTTTTTTCTAAGCCAAATCAATTGTCAAGGAACACATGAAACCACTATTAGAAGTTTTATTTAAATGGACGTTCCTTCGCCTTTTTATAAGCTTAAGAAGTTGGAGCGCTAACCTTACGGTGAGAGCAACCTTTGCAAGCCACACGGCTGTTTTTGGCTCTCTGAGAGTTTGAATCTTCGTATTGCTTTCATTTTTGGCGCCACAATGTTGGTACTTAGTTTTTTAGATAGCTTAAATAATAGAGTTTTTGTAGTAATGAAGAATTTTTATAAATAATATTCCATTTGCTTGTTATTTGAGCTAGAAAAAAAACTTACGAACTTACGTACTATCACGAACTAGTAGCCGTTTACCTTAACTATATTGTTAGCAATTAATTTTAGTACCTATTTGTTAGAATAGATCAATAATTTTATACCTCATCCTCGTTTGTAACATAAGTGTTGTGTTCGGAAAAGCTGAAGCCGGCGCCGACTGGATTATCGATGAAGAGCAAAGAGTACTCTCTTGCCCAAGTAATGGGCATCTTTTTGACTGAAACAATAAAGAAAATTAAGACGAGGAGACGGTACTATTCCTACTTTTCGTTCCTACCGCTGCAACTCAGGAGCAGGAGTTGCAGGAAGGCGCTGCGAGGCTTCCGGCGACTGGGACCGCAATTAACTAGGACCGCGGTCCCAGTCGCCGGATCCATAAAAAAATAATAATTTTCTTCCGGCGACTGGGACCACTCATAGATAACTTAAAAGAAAATCTGTACCCCCAGTGAAAAGGGATCTAACTCGACTTAGATCAAAATTGACTTTATAACATAATGTGAATCTCTGAAAAATTAGCTATTTTTGTATCTAATCGGTATGTTTCTACGACGTATAGAAAAGAAAATATTTTTGTGCCAAATGATACAAGTAAGGCTTTGTANCGATAAGTATGTGAAAATATTTACACAAGCCATTAGATGCCAGGGGTGGGATTATGGGGAGGAGGGGGGGGGGGACTGACCCCCCCCTCATAATCCCACCCCTGGAGCTGTTTCAAGTGAGGGTAGCCCCCCCCCTGAAAATAACCCCAGATACGCCAATGACTCATAGTAAAAAGTAAGTAATTAATTAATTTCTTAGGTAGGTAAGTATTAAAAACTAAAAAATATGTCGATTTTTTTGATGGTATGTGTCATAAAAGTACCTAACACCATACATTTATTATCACGAACTTGGAAAAAAGTAACAATAATACGGTTCCTTGTTTCGTGATACTGATTATTCCAAATTCCCCAAGTAAAATTCATGGATTATTGTCAAAATGTGTCAATTAACTATTATCTATCCCATATACAATACAAATAAACAAAGATAAATAAAACAAATCGAAATAAAACCAAAATTATGCTGGTACTACTTATGCTAATTTATCTTAAAATTGGTCATTTATGTTAACTTCAAACTCATGTCACATAAATTCTAGTGAACGAAACATATACCGAATTTAGGTCATGAGAAACTTAAATAAATGCTTTATTTGTTTCATAACTTACATTTAAATTATCATAAATAATTATTTAAAAACCAAGCATCAAAATGTTATGCATATTATCCTTGAATCGGTAGTGTCACGAAATAGGGGACACCCGAAAAATAATATGTACGCTATTTCGTGAGTCAATTAATCGCAATTTTAAAGGAATTCTACGTTTTCATATAACTTTCTTCTAAGCCAAATCAATTGTCAAGGAACACATGAAACCACCTATTACAAGTTTTATTTAAATGGACGTTCCTTCGCCTTTTTATAAGCTTAAGAAGTTGGAGCGCTAACCTTACGGTGAGAGCAACCTTTACAAGCCGCACGGATGTTTTTGGCTCTCTGAGAGTTTGAAGCTTTGTATTGCTCTCATTTTTGGCGCCACAATGTTGGTACTTGGTTTTTTAGATAGCTTAAATAATAGAGTTTTTGTAGTAATGAAGAATTTTTATGAATAATATTCCATTTGCTTATTATTTGAGCTAGAAAAAAAACTTACGAACTTACGTACTATCACGAACTAGTAGCCGTTTACCTTACGCCGGCTGTCGTAAAATCAGCATTGTTTAGAGTTCAGACATCAAACTCATCTCTTGGCAAGATCTGATATTACCTACTTGCGAGTAGAATTCGGCGTAAAAATGATGTAATAGTCTTTTGGGTAAGTAACCTTTTAGTATCTTATTATGAGTAATCATCTGGGCGGATTCTGCGCGAATATAGTAGGAACTGCTTACGTAATCTGAAATAAATAAATATTGTAGCTGAAAAACCTAAATCAAATCTTGAGAACTTATGAGCTAATTAGCTTAAGTTGTAGTATACAACGTGTCCCAAAATTCAACGATAAGCCGGCGCCGCAGGGTGGACATAGTCATGACTACTTTGGGAAAAATAAGAAAAAAAATCTATCTCAATTATTTTTTAAGTTACACAATAAATTACGAAATTCGTCGAAAATTGACACCCCTTATGATATTTTACATTACCACGACCACAATTTTTCAAATACTTCTGTTTTTTTGTTTGTATCGACAACCTAAGTAGTGTTGCTGTCCATCCCAATTCTTAAAACCCCCAGAATCCTTGCAGTTTTTACACAAAAGTTAATCAAAATATGATATTTCCTTAAAATTTTAAACGATTTTTACTTTCACTCCACTTTGACTCGTCGTTTTGTAAAAAAAAAGTATGAACACTACTACGGCAAGTTTTTTATAAAGTTGACGTAACTATCCAAGATTCCAAAATGGTATAATACTCTGAGAAAACTAGTCGCAAAAAAGATATGCGTACCATTTTTACAAGCACTTCACTTGTTAGTTAGTATGGGATAAATCTTGCAACTGAATTTAAAACCAGTTCTCCTCAACTAATTGAGCTGAAATTTGGTATACTCATGTAAGTACGATGACAATGCAATATTATGGTATCATTGAGCTGCATGGAGTCATGGAGCCATAGGAACTTCTAAATGAAACGGCGGAATTGCATCTAGTTTGGGTTCGTTGGATTTGACTTTTCAAGCACTTTGGTGCTAGATGATGTCCAGGGTCCTGATGATGAAGTCAAGAGGTGGCTAGGAGCTGGCCAAAGGAACTCCTAAACGAAATGGCGGAAGCTTATCGAGTTTGGGTTCGTTGGATTTGACTTCCCGAGCACTTGGACCATGAGATTGAGAAACAACTAAAAAGTGTAAAATAAAGTTATAATAAAAAATAAACTTTTAAAAAACAAGCATTAATGCGAAATTTAACGAAAGAATTTAACGATAAAAATAATTGTATGCAAGGTTCAAATTCTTTCGAAAGCTTGTAGCGCAAACAGAAAAAAAAGGAATAAATTCCATGCGCGATTATAACTTTATTTTAAACTTTTTAGCTGTTTCTCAATCTCATGGCCCAAGTGCCCGAGAAGACAAATCCAATGAACCCAAACTCGATAATCTTCCGCTGTTTCGTTTAGGAGTTCCTATGGCCAGCTCCTGGCCACCTCTTGACTTCATCATCAGGACCCTGGACATCATCTAGCACCAAAGTGCTCGAAAAGACAAATACAATGAACCTAAACTAGATGCAATTCCGCCGTTTCATTTAGAAGTTCCTATGGCCACCTCCAGACTCCATGCAGCTCAATGATACCATAATATTGCATTGTCATCGTTCTTACATAAGTATAGCAAATTTCAGCTCAATTGGTTGAGGAGAACTGGTTTTAAATTCAGTTGCAAGATTTATCCCCTACTAACTAACAAGCGAAGTGCTTGTAAAAATGGTACGCATATCTTTTTTGCGACTAGTTTTCTTAGAGTATTATACCATTTTTGAATCTTGGATAGTTGCGTCAACTTTATAAAAAACTTGCCGCAGTAGTGTTCATACTTTTTTTTTACAAAACGACGAGTCAAAGTTGAGTGAAAGTAAAAATCGTTCAAAATTTTAAGGAAATTACATATTTTGATTAACTTTTGTGTAAAAACTGCAAGGATTCTGGGGGTTTTNACATTCCACCAATGCTTCGAATTGCTTCTAGTAATGGATCATCTGCTACAACATCGTCACGTTGGATCTGAACTTCGATGCCTTCCTCTTGTAATACATCATTTTCTACAACAAGTTGTGATGATTCTTGCCTTGTTGCGTCACGTTGGATCTGAACTTCGATGCCTTCCTCTTGTAATGCAACATTTTCTACAACAAGTTGTGATGATTCTTGCCTTGTTTCGTCACGTTGAATATGCATCTGAGATTCAAGATTGTCGAATAAATCTTCTGGTATTACCATTGTATAATATTCATCCGATGTAGTAGAATTGTTTTCCGATTGCATTCGATTTATTCTTTTCTGTTTTACTATTTGTAATATTTCAGACTGAACATCTAGAGCATCCACCAGGGGCAATTGTCGGAGCTGACTGGCAATATTTTTTGCGAAAAGGGAGAATTCATCTTCTATTTCTTTATGACACAGTACTTGGTCCTTGATACTATTAAGTGTTTCAATAGACTTCTCAATATGTTGAGGTACTAATGGTCGTTTAAGTGGTCGCTTTTTCTTGAGAACATTTTGTGGCTTAGCGAATATTTCACTATTTGACTGCTGAGAAGATGATGGCGTTTGAAAATCTGCAGGTGGCGAAAGAGGTCCTGGTATGTCCCATGAAGGCTTGGCGAGAATGTCTGGTTTGCGGTTCACGGTTCCCGCCATGTAACACGAGGGCACAGATTACTTTAGAGATGTTTTTTTCAATTCGTTCTTTCTGGAACAGGCTAAGGTCAAAGGCCATGCTGCCTAGTCATTAGTAAATTAGTTAGAGTACCTAGGTATGTCAAAACCACGGTTTTTTTAAACAGGCTGTTTGACTAGATTGGAAATTGATCGAAATTAGTAAATTAATATTAAACGATTTTCAATGCCTATAATAGACATAATCGGTTAAAAATAATTAAGTACCTATTCGGTTTAACGTATTCTCACTAGTTTTAACTACACTGAGATAAGCCAGTTTGGAATTTGGATTTATCATCCGACCATAAAGTTAACATTCCTTAGGAAGAATTATTAACTTTAAGCATCTGACTCTGTTAATCGAGTTTTTTTATATTTACGATCGATGTTATAATGTCCGTTTGTTTAGACAACGACGACATCTATAATCTTATTATTATATAATAAATTCTTTAATAAATAAATTCTTTATTGAATAACTTATTGACAGTTTTTAACAATAGGCTAATATTAAACTATAATAGGTAAAAGTACAGTCGCGGAATGAAAAGGTTCGTCACCTTAGTGTCGGTTTTCGCTTGCACTAGGTACTGTAAGAGGCAAACCTGCCAACATAACCGTGCAAGAAACAGTGCTGCTAACATTTAAATCTGGGGGCACGGCAGTGCCCCCGCCAAGTCGAGCGCGAAGCAAACACTGCCGTACCATCCTTTACTGGAACCATTTCGCCGCATTTTCAGGCCCCTATTTGAGAACCTCTGGATAAGACCAGAACGCAGAAATTTTCGTCATCTAGTAAGCTATAATCACATACTTAAAATCCAAAATTTCAAGTCTNATGAACGGTCCTGCGCTGCCCGCATCCAGGCTCTTCCCGCGACCCTTACCAGATCGTCGGTCCACCTAGTAGGAGGCCTGCCCACGCTACGTTTTCCAGCCCGTGGTCGCCACTCGAGAACTTTCCTGCCCCAACGGCCATCGTCTCTACGAGCTATGTGCCCCGCCCACTGCCACTTGATTTTAGCAATTCTGCGAGCTATGTCGCAGAATTGCTAAAATAATTCCTGTATCTCAGGCAAAAAAAAAGGCTTACATTACTTTATTAATAGAATTATTTCTAGCAAAATATATAAATAATCTAATATTTATACATAATAATATTATAATTAAAAACTAAAATCTACACAAGTTACATTTAAGATTTAAAATCAATACAATGTGCTACATAATATTGCTTTTCTACATACTTTATTAAAAACATCCAACATATTACAGTGTCTGCGTAAACAAAAATAATAAACTGGGTCACGCTCAATGTTGCAAAAATCAAACAAGTTATTTATGTTTACTCTAGATATACTTAAATTCAACTCGGTTTGTTAAGGTACATAGATTTGATAAAAGGTTAGTGGGACAGCTCTATGATTAATTATGGAGTTATCTACTAATAGGTACTAATGGTAAAAGTTAATTTATACAATCTAGGTAGTAAATTAGCTAATGATAAAACTGACACATCAAGACAAACATAAACTCGCAGGGGGCGCTCTTAGGCGCGTTCGTAATCTATGGTGTTAATATATCTTTGTTCTGCTGGTTTCTTAGCAGGGCACTCAGCGTCACCTGTCTTGTGATTGTTGGGCTTTTTGAAGTGCAAGCAGGTCGCACATTTTGAGGGTTCATCCTTTTTATTGCAATCCTTTAATACGTGACCCACTTCTCCGCATTTATTATTTGCACAGATATCGAGTAACTGGGAAAATATGGATAAATACCAGCGCCTGCTCTTTATTTCTGTTCGGTACAGGGCAATTAGCATGTCCGCTAAATCCATGCCACCCATGTGTGCATTGTAATGTTTCACTATTTTAGTGCAGTCTACATCTCATGCCCTTGTTGATAAACTCTAAGCCATTATCACTCCGGAAGTATTTAATCTTATTACCTGTCACATTTTCACTCATCTTTATAAATTTCTCCACATAGGCCTTGACTTCATACTTCCCTTTCAAAAAATAGACAGTTCTGTATGCCGAAAAATCATCTTTCAGAAGAAGAAAATACTTGGCTCCTCCGATGGAAGTCTCCTCCATCGGGCCGCATACATCAGCGTGAATTAATTCGCACGTCCTTGAAGTCGTCGTTTGGCTTGTTTTAAAAGGCAAACGATGTGATTTGCCCTCCAAACATCCCTTACAATCGCCAACGATGTCATCAGTTGCATCAATGTTGTTGTTCGCAAACACTTTCTTCACGTGTTACGACCTATTGTTAAACGGTACTGCGTTAATTACCCTTTGTTGTGGATTAATTTTATTGAAATGTCAATGCAGAACGGTTTTGTGGAAACGATTGGTTTATGACTAGGTGCTGGTGGTATTAAATTGTAAAATTTTTGTTTGATAAAATCCCATCGCCCTTCCGCTTATAACTGCAAAATTTGTGCAGTTTTAATAATAAGATTCCATAACCTCATGTACTAAAACTAAATTATTGTTACTATATTAATTTATTTATCATACAGTTTACTTTTGATAAGAAATAACTTAAAAAATTCTCATTCAGATTTAAGACAGATATATTCCAGTGAAAATTATGATTTATCATTGTTACAATTTGGGATGCTCTTCCCTCTAATTTTCCTAACATGGGGACGAATTTTATCAAAACGCTAGGATCTATGGTCGGCATAGCCGTCTGCCTAGGGTTTGGACTCGGGTTCTGTGCTGAAGACACATGGCTAACATATCCCTCCATCTTAGGACGAGGGTCAGTCATATCTCGTTTACAGCAACTAGCCTTAGGTCTATAAATAAAACTTGCGGGTTTTACGATGGGAATTTTGGAAAACGACAAGAATGCTTCAGGCACTTACAGCTTGAAGATGATGGTGACACGAAGTAGCATGGTCGTAGTAGGTATCTTTACGTATTTGTTTTGTTGTAGAGACCCTTGTTCCAAGTGACTTAAGGTTCGGACAAACCAACGCGTGCAGCCGGCGTGCACGTTTGGCTGAACCTTTAGGGAGTCAGGACGCAGACTTTAAGCGAACTCGGAGATCGATTCCTCGGAGATCTTGAACTTCAAGGTTGCGCGGACTTTACAGGGCCCCCCTACGTTGGGCGTCAGTCAAAATAACGAACACTGAGACTTCTTTGAAAAATACTGTACTTCTTACTTTAAAAAAAAATGAACTAAGTAAACTGCCAAATCAGAAATTATTTTATTTGGGGATTAAGATCAATTTTCAAATAACTTCAATTTCGAAAAATATGAAATGCCCGGACACACTGTATATCGTTATTTAGTATCGGTAAGTAAGTGCGAATCCAAACGCAGCTAGTTTTGAAGTATGATTTAGGATGTGTGTCCAAAATTCCTTCTTCTATTTTTAAGGCGAAAATGGCGACACGCACTTTTGTAAGCTCTGTATAAAATCTTAAATAAAACAGTATCTTCACACCAAGGCGGCTTTCATTTATTTTTCCAAAACATTTATCGGCGGCATAGGCCACAGCTTGAAACCCTACGAGGAGGGTGAGGACATAGCATGTTTCTTGGAACGTATGGAGCAATATTTTGAAGCTAATGCTATGAAAGAAAAGTGGCATCTTTACTCGTAAGTTTGCACGAAGTCGTCTACAAAACGTTCTACACCCGGATTTAACTATTGGGTAATTAAAGAAAAGATGCGTAATTAACTTGACTTTCTGTATTTTATCTTCGAAAGTAATTTAGTACAACCTAGCACAATGATGGAGGGTTCGAGAGAGAGCTGTCATAGACAAGGGCGACATCTACCACAGATACAGTAGGTTTTCTATTACATTTTTATTAATCAGCTTGTTTTTGTTGCACTCTTCAACATTTACCGTCCAGAAAAACCTACAAGCAGATTGAGGAAGCACTCAAACTTCGCTTTAAAATTTCTCACTACAGAAAGTTGATTGAGTTCGATAGGCTTCGACAAGAGGACAGCGAGAATGTGGCGACTCTCGAATACGTGAGGCATCGGGAACGCATGGAGCAATATTTTGAAGCTAATACTATGAAAGAAAAGTGGCATCTTTACTCGTAAGTTTGCACGAAGACGTCTACAAAACGTCGAAAAACGTTCTGCATCCGGATTTACCATCCAGAAAAACCTACAAGCAGATTGAGGAAGCACTCAAACTTCGCTTTAAAATTTCTCACTACAGAAAGGTGATTGAGTTCGATAGGCTTCGACAAGAGGACGGCGAGAATGTGGCGACTCTCAAATTCGTGAGGCATCGGGAACGCATGGAGCAATATTTTGAAGCTAATGCTATGAAAGAAAAGTGGCATCTTTACTCGTAAGTTTGCACGAAGACTAGAAAACGTTGAAAAACGTTCTGCACCCGGATTTACCTAACCTAACCTAACCTTTTGGTTAGGTTAGGTTAGGTTAGGTACAAGTAGATTGAGAAAGCCCTCAAACTTCGCTTTAAAACTCACTACAGAAAGGTGATTGAGTTCGATAGGCTTCGACAAGAGAAGGCGAGAATGTAGCGAAATTTTACTCTCATATTCGTGAGACATCGACAGATTGCAATTTTCCAACTAGCAGCATGGAAGCCAATGTCAAGTACAAACTGGTGACAGGTCTGAGGCCAGGACCTGCACAGGATAGACTTTGTGAAGAGGATTCCCAAAAGACCCTGAAGGAGTTACTGGAAGTAGCGTTAAACAAGGAGTCAGCGAGCAATTACAGAGTGGTCAACAAGATATTCAAGAACACAAGTGGCAACGAGCACAACCAGGGCAAGGAGCACCACCAGGGCAAAGGACAAGGATGTGTATTACATACAGTGCGTTCATTGCGGTAAAAGTAATCACAATATTTCTAAGTGTAAATATAAGAGTTACAAATGGAAAGTGCGTAATGCATAGGTACAATTTTATTGTAACAAGCACGGACATTTTGCCAGGAACTGCCGTGCTCTGAACCAGCAAGAAGTTTGTTACATTCAGGTCAACTAAGTAAAAGTCTATGGACAGAAGCTGTGAACTAGTTATTTCCTAGTCCTCGACCTCTGCACTGGTATTTCTTATGCACTGGCTTCCCACAGTTGTAACAAGTGAAGGCACTCGAGTTGTTTTCTTTAAACATTTTCTTCTTTTCTTCCTCTGCGAGAAGTCTTTCCAGTCTTTTCCGGCGTTTCAGCTCGTAATGACAACCGGGTCGCAAAATGTTCACTTCTCGAAATGACAACTTCTTAAAATGTCAACTTCTATCGGTAGCCATGTTGGTAGCGGCCATTTTGGCCGTTATGTCAAACTGACAGATGGAATTGACGTAATTAATGGCGTCATTCGTGTCGAACCTCGTGTGCTGATGGGTCCTTCTGCTCGCTTTATTGCTTGAGTTGAGATTGATTCCAAGTTCCTTGTTCGATACGAATACTGCAGTGTTCTGGTGCTTTTGACCACGCACCGCGGTCATGGCGCCCATCAAATGCTGTATAATTTTCCAAAGGATGATAAAGTTAGGGCTTTGTGGCTGTCGTTTTTGGTGTCAGTAAATTCCGAACTTCTTGGACTAACAAAGGATCAGTTATTGAATAAACGTGTGTGTCAAAAACATTTCGACAAATACCAACTGGATGGGGAGGGTAATCGTCTCAAACATGGTTATCCATGTTTGTTTTCTACTGAAGAAGTCGAGCATGGGGTACCTCTATCTGGTAAGTGTATTAACTTTCCGTTAAACTTTACTATTCTAAACATCTAAAACTGCGTGGGTATGTCATGCTCAAATGTTTGGTTATTTTCAGGTGATCACTATGATCATAGTTACAGTAAAAAGGAGGACTTTGCTGAAAATTCAGTTGTGACCCAAGGTATGATATGATACTCATTTTTATTAATATTTATGATTTGTTATAAAATATTATGTTACTGTTTTCTGATATTCATTTTTCTCATTTTAGAACATCCAGATGATCATTCTTATTCAAGAACAGCAGATATACTCATGCATTATATGCAGATCTGCAGATCCTCCTGCGTCTTCACTTATCAATACTGGTAATTTATTTTAAAAAACAATTCATTAACCCACTTGGACACACTACATTTAAAAATCATTGAAGAACACCTAACAATAAGGCTAAAAACGTCTTGGTGTTTTTGTCTCCAAACAGCCTTTCTTATTTCCGTTATTATTAATTTAATTAATTATGTAATATTTCAGAAACTACAGCTTCGGGTTCAAAGGTCAGTGAGACAATGGCCACAACCGCCTGTTGCTGTTGAGTTCATCGACAAGCTCTTCGATAGTGTAAATGGATCTCGAGGGAGCACTGTTCGGGGCAAACTGCGCAGGCCGATAAAGCCAAGCGATCAACAACACTTTAATGTTTGGTCCGAAGCGAAGCAAATATTGAAAAATTTGAGTTTATTGACAAACACAGTAAGAAAGCCCGCAAAAATAATAAGGCCTATAATGTAAGAGTTCCTTCGTTTAATGGATGGGTCACAACTTTAGAAAGTTTTAAAAGGTTATCTAAAGACTAAACTATTGTTTGAGAAATATCACTTACAGTATTTTTATCCCAGAAACATTAATCAAGATCCTCTTGAGAATTTTTTTGTCGGATCAGAGCCATTAATCACAGGAACGTTAATCCTGATGTTAACACGTTCATGAATGCATTCAAGTCATTATTAATGTCAAACGTTATGGGTCCTCATTCAATATATGCCAACTGAGGATGACACTGGAGACTCGGTAGTCGATTTTGTAAAACTAATGTGCTCATCAAATGTTGATGAGAGTTCCTCATCAACATTTGATGAGGATAAAGAAAATTCTATGCTATGTAGACAACTATGACGCAAAACACTAGCAATAATAGCAACCAATCGCTAAATCCAGCAAATGAAAGATTGCGTGTGCACTCTTCTGCATATACAGCAGGGTATTTGTGCAGAAGAGTGACAAAAAAACTTAAGCGTAGAAAATGCTATGTTCATAAATGGATCGAACAACGGGAATATAACCTTTTAAAACATCGCAATTTAGCGTATCCATCAAAGAAATTTTTAATTTTATATAGAGACATTACCGGCCTTATCCACGATAATTTGAACAAATAATTATGCTCACAAAAAATGTGTAAAAAAACATTTAAAATTAGATATATTAAAGAAATTTAATGTAAATTGGTTGGGGTGTACACAACATGACACAGAAGCCTTTTTGATAAATATAAAGCCCTTAGCTTAAGAGGAAAAAAATAAAATAAAAATAAGTAAAAAGCAAAAACTAGGCGTTTTATTTTTTACCTTGCAAATAATAAAATTAAATAAAATTAACCCAAAAAAAATTATCCACGCTACATCACTATTTTATCGATATTCTATAGTAGGTAAGCTGTGGGTCATCACTAATTGACATTGCGACGTATAGTTATCTGTGGTTGCGACACTAGCGCTTAACGCATACTTTTGGTACTACACGTCAACTTCGTAACTGTCCTATCCAGAGAGCAGAAATAACAGGAGTAGCAGCGCGCGTTTATTTCCATACAAAAAAATTTCGCCATTTCCTGAGGGGGACGAGGTAATGACATTTGTGTAACAGCTGATGGCGCTGAGACACTATCGATATTTTTGTCGATGAGAATCATTGCTCTATGGTTCATAGTCTATGGCTCGTTTAAAAAAATGATATGAATTAATTTATTATCCTATGGGAGATTCAACATTTCAGAGGTGGAATTGTGTAAAGCAATCGTAATCATTTGACAGTTCATAACGTACGATAAAGTCAGTTAAACAAAGCGTTTGACAGAATAATCGTACGTTATGAACTGTCAAATGATAACGATTGATTTACACAATTCCACCTNTCATTACTCAACATTGTCCAATGACCCCAAGCTACCCATCCTTATCGCTCGCGCGTAATTATATTGCTGTCGCGACTGTGCGACGGGCGTCCGCAGTGAGTGTGCGAGCGCGACAACGACATAAATACGCGCGAGCGATAAGGATGGGTAGCTTGGGGTCATTGGACAAAATTTTACGTGCTCGCAGACCAGACTATAGTGCCTATTTGGTCTAGTACGTTACCTCGCCGTGTTGCTAGGTAACATGAGGCCCCGAAAAAATCATTGAACTGTCCGTGTATGACTGGAACTATGATGATAATTAAGTATGGCGACTGAGTACCATTGCTTACAATTAATTGACATTCGTTAGTTGTCCATGCAAGCCCGTCAGAGAAAAGCACCGAGTCTGTAAAGAAACATCCAATGGTTATAGCGTTTTGATAAAAATAAATTAAATGAATAGTGCAGCTATATGTTGGTGCAAGCAGTTACAAATGATTACGGTAGATTGGCATCAAGAAGAAAGACAAGAAATAGATAAATATAGGGTGTAAAGGTCAGGTTGGCAAAAACTTAGGATTCAAGTCTGGTTAAATAGCAAAATACTACAACATAGGCTTGAATCTATGTTTATGTTAGGCTCGTATTAATATGCATTTTGTACTAAATCTTTATAGGTAATAGGAATGAATATGATTAGTATCTTAAAATTAAAATAATTATATATAATATAAGCATTACATTACACTTAAGTATGTAGTGCATATAAATTAATAGACGAGTAATAAACTAAATAAAATAAAACACTTACCGTGCATCCTTCTAAGACTAATATTCATACAATACACAAATGGTGCTTTGTTTGCTGACAGAAGTACGTGCAAAATATACAATATTTAAAAAAGCTTTAAAACGCGCAAGCTATTGTACATTTTCGTTGATACACACCTTATTATTTAAACAATCCCAATAACGACCTAAATTAACAGAATATTAATCTATATGAGTATTCCAATAATAAACGGATAGCTTCTGATACAAATATTATGAGTGTTATTTACAAAAGGCAAAGTCACGAATGAGGTAAAAGAGGAAGACTATGGATTTTTTTTTATTGTTTGTCTATGGAATTTAAGTACCCAGTATGGACGGGAATAGTCATTTATGGCACCAATTACAGACAAATACAGCTTTTCATTTATGATACAGAGATGTTTTTACAATTAATAAAACAGTTACCGGCAGCAACCTAACAACAATAAAACAACAAATTTACTCAATGAATTTTGAATCGTATAGTATCTAAATAAGATCCAAAATCAAATGAAGCAATTCACCATTGCTGTAGATTGCTGCCGAACTGTACTACCATTATAATATCATCAATCACAAGAAATACATGCCTCATTCGTATGACATATGACATGCTAGTTTTCACCCAAAAAGAAACAAACAAATTATCGAGGTATACGCGTCTGATTTACCTGACTCGGGAGTGGAGTGCTGCTCTTTCCTCAGAGGGGGTGTCCCTCAGGAAGGTCGAGGACAAGTTGAGGACCACCATCAGGCAGCACAACAGGAGTGGGCCTAGGATAGCGCCTTCTGGGCCTAGGTAGAAGATGCCGCCCGCTATGGCTAAGCCTGTGACGTATGGGTGGCCACCGCTGGAATAATTTTATTATAAATGTTGTATAAAGACAGTCATCTTATGAGGATTATGGGAAAGACATAAGCCCCGAATCACTTGTATTTTGAAATCTAAAGTAAAACAGGACATTGACAACAGACAGATTAAAAAATACGTGCCGTGGATGAAAAATTTTTTGCTCATTGGTAGCGTTTGTACTAATTCGGATTCCTTGAAGGTCGCTTCGGCTGATTCTTTTCTATCAGGTGGGATGCGGATTCTCGGTGTAGCTTGCTTCTACCATTGGTCTGATCATCACTTTCCATGTGAGAGGTTGGCTAAGAGCTTTTCCGTTATGGTTACAAAATGCTCATTCATCATCATCGTGACATAGACAGCGGCGTCCAGAAAAGCGGTGGGCGCGGCCTAGGCGATAGGCAGCAGTATTTTTTTTTGTTTAGATTACAAAAAAACATCATTTAGATTCTCAAAAACCTCCTCCTTTTTGAAGTCGGTTAAAAATACTCACTCTTAGATCTCAGCATAGACGGCGGCGTCCAGGAAAGCGATGGGCGCGGCCTGCGCTATAGGCAGCAGCAGTGCCGACATTGGTCTGCCTTGAAGCCACACATCTAACGCCGCGGGGATCCCCGCCAAGGACGGTCATAAGAACGGGGATTCCCCGTTATAGTTACAATATACTCACTCTTTGATCTCAGCATAGACGGCGGCGTCCAGGAAAGCGATGGGCGCGGCCTGAGCTATAGGCAGCAACAGTGCTGACATGGGTCGTCCCTGCAGCCAGACGTCTAACGCCGCGGGAATCCCGGCCAAGTACGGGCCTAGGAACGGAGCCGCGCCCAGAACCGCGGCCAAGACTGCAAATATTATAATCATAAAGATGCAATAGGAGTCTACTATTCGACTTGACATTAACGCAAAGAGCGCAAAATATCACGATAGACCTTTAGATGGTTTACCTAAGATTACTTAATACATTAAGCTTGCTAATTCTGGTGACTTTTTCTACCAGATAAATCGAGACCTGCGAAACCAAAACTTGTAGTTATCGAGTGGCTGCAGTACAAACGCAAATTAAATATCCAGTAATTGATTTAGAAATCTGATGGACAGGTTCCTAATCTGAAATACTGTTTTCAATTTTGTTATATTTAGATTCAGTATACCTATAAACACAGAATAATAACAGTCGTAAAACGACTAGGTTTCAATACAAAGATTTAATTGAATCAATAAGGGTATTTAATAACACATTATCATTCATATCAATTTAAGCAAGCTCTAATGAGTAATTAACTACAGACTTGAAATTTACGAGCTAATTAAATAAATATAATTAAAGTATCTTATTCAGAAATAAGGAAAATAAAACAACATGATTAATTTTATTAATAAAGAGTCTCCAAGAATGACAAGGTGAGATACAGGCCAAGAGCTTCCCCGATGTGGATAAAAAAAAATCTTATAGTAACAAAATAATCTTAATGAGGTCCATAATGATATCACTTGACATAATTAAAAATGAAAAGACTTTATACGCATAAACAATTTTTATTATTTCTGTTGGTGTTGAATATTTTTGTGCAGGTACAGTTAACGATAAGTCGATGATACAAATCGAATATATTTAAATAACAATTAATAATTCAAGTTGAAAATTAAGTTATCTTTTTCTTGTCCATTTGCCTAGGCGGTCTTAACTGAGCGTAGACGTACTTATAAAAGTCCAGCGCTTTCTGCCTGTCATATACGACGTTGTTCCGGCATTGGTTGCCCACACAACGGCTCACATACTCGACAGTCTGAGGCGTTTTAGGCTCTTCAACTGGTCTCTTATGGGTCCCGGTGCTTCTTAAAGTCTCTACGAAGTCTCTAGAAGAATCGAAGACAACCTTGATCGCTGTTCGGTTGGTCATGTTCAAATTGCTGCCCTTGAGCAAGTAGTCTTTGTCTATGGCCGTCATGGCTGCGCTTGCGTCGCCGTTTGGCGAATTCGCTTGTCTTATGAGATAAAAAGTAGGAGCCGGTTCTGTTACATCTTCGTCCGTTGTCATGTCGTTGTTATTATTATGTCTGTCGCTATAGAGCAAACACATCACTTGTGGGTCCAGGTTCAGTTGACACATGTCACTTTCTAACAACAGCTTCACAACTTCAACGGGTAAAGAACACGGCGCGGATATACACGTGTTGTTATTTACTACGTCTAAAAACATGTTATTGAGCTCCACGTTCGTAGGTGATGAGGTCAAATACGATATGTTTCGACATTTGCAGTCGATTTTGTTGTGGTTAACACTCACTGTGGTACCAGCTGATTTGCAACTAGCATAGTCGAATGCAAGAGAGTAGGGTTCCACTGTCCGAATCTTGTTTTTAGAAAAGATGAAGTATTTATTGCTGATCCTCTTCCTTAAACATTTGACACCAATTAAGGAGTTGATTTTGAGTAGATTGATATTGTTATTCGTTATATCAGTATTTACAGATCGCAGTAACAAAGCATTGGAGTAGATATCTTTTATCGTATTCTTTGTCATTTGCAGAACATCTGATGTTATATTAACCACATTTGCAATCAAATCATCAAATACATTGTTGTCTATAACCGCTGTCTTGGTCCTTACAACAATACCTTTAAAGTTCAAATTCTCAATTTTACAGTTCACCATCGAAAAGAGCGTATTATCGTTGCCCATGATAGCTTCTATCGCTTGGTTTTCCACATTGGTTATAGTCACATTTTCGAATTCGATACTTTTGATACCGGTGACATTGTAAATAGCTCGAGTGTTGATTGTGTTTATTTTGCTGTTAACGATACGTATTTTTCTCATCGAATGAGCGCCGATGCATTTCAGTTCTGTGTTAGTGACTGGTGATTTGAATATTTTTCTAGGCAAGGACACGACTTCTCTGGCGTTTTCTATAGTGACTTCAGGCGGCGTTTGTAGCAATGACGTGCTAGACAAAGACACGAATTCGACTCGGTCGCAATCCTTTATTTTGAACCGTTGAAGTTGAGAAGGTCGCTGCAGCAGTGGGCAGTCGAGTACAACTCTCACGTCTCTGCAATTTTGCACGGTTACACTCGTAATGTGATCCGTGTAGTAATCCTTGAGGTGTATGATGAAGTCCTAAAATAATTTGGTGCGATTAATATAAAGAAAATCTTGATTATTAGTTGAAAAATAAAAGATAAATATTTATTTACTTACATTGCTCAGTACATTAGCGCAGGTGTACACGATTTCGTTTGGAAGGTTGTTGTTACAACTCCACTCGGGGCTTTGACAACTCGTGAAATTGATTCTGACTCCAACAGCCGAGTTTAAGATGGCAAAAAGCAACAGGACGATATTGTAAGCCATTTTAGAGGACCGCTGACATTTCGCTGGGAGCGTGGCGGGCGTCGGAGCGCGCAATAAAAATATCACACGAACTACACATGGGCATCATCCCGAGATAATTCTGCTGAATATGACGTTGTAAAAACGGCACGTTTATCGTTCCGCACGAAATTAATAGTTCGTTGAACTTGACATTGCGATCTGGCGCTGATTGGACGCTGAAAATCTGTTTTTGATTAACGCATTATGTCATGCATGTAAACAATAAGTCAAGAGGTATGTAATGTGATAACTGTGAATGTGAATTAATGTTTACGTTCATTTTTTGGCTATTAAAAATAGCTCACAATGACAAGTTACAGATACTTTAGTTTATGATTACTTATATTCGTTAATCTTCGTTTGCGAATTTTGGGGGACCATAATAATTTTGAATTTTTGTTGAGTATTAAATGTCCAGTAGGTGTATGTACCTACCATATTACTATAGCAATAGTAGTAGCGCTAGTATGCATAAGTATTGGCGGGGCACGATCAGTTCAAATCTACGCGACGTGTGAGGTGGCTTGCAAATGCAAAGTGCAATTTTATTGGGTGCTAAAAATAGTAAAATTTATAAAATGACGACGCACCACCGACACTACTATAGTAAGGTAAAAATGCAGGTTACAAAATTGAACAATCGGCAACACTAACCTGAGGGCAAGTAGACAACCTTAGCCCCGAAGAAGTTATGCACTAGCCACGTCCATAATCCGTAGAAGAGGGCCATCTTGAACGAAGCTCTGAACACCTACAACAGAAAAACAACATAAAAATGCAAATAAAGAAGAACTTTATTTAAATACAAAGATTAACTATTGAGCTAAAATTAACTATTGGTGCTACTAAATCAAACTTTCTGGAGTATAAAAATAAGTTCAGACACGGTAATAATATCATACAGTATTGTAACTCCATATAAACCGACGAAACGCGAGCTTTCCTTCGAATTTCAAATCTCGGGACGTGGTCGTAATCCAAAAGTTAGGGGTGTCGCGAATGTGCCGAACGGACGTCGATGGCCTAGTGTTGAAAATGACTAAGGAAGGTGATTGAATTTGACTGACCGTCATTTACGATCTTTGTCAAAAACTAGTATTAGTTATTAACTGTCAGAAATTGTCATTTTCAGTCAGTTTGATTTGAAATGAAAATTATATATTGTATAAAACCAGCTTTTGCCAACGATTTCGCCTGCCTGAAATTAAAGTAACAGGTCATTAAGTACTCATTATGATTAGTAGATTCAAAATTATTTTAGCATATTTTTTTAAATTAAATCTACTAATCACAAAACAACACGCATTTTTATCCTATTCCATTCACAAAGTATTTTGTTTGTCTAAATAAAAAAAATTACAATCACAAAACTAGATAGAAATTCTAAGTAGACAGATATAATTTTATTAGAATGGGTACTGTAGGTAAGCAGCCCTATCGCATGTTGTCATACCGTGACGTACCGCGGGGCTGTTGACATTTTTCTTCAAAAATATGGCCGAGTTGGAATACTGTATTGATAGTATTACCGTGGTTCTGATATCCATTTTTTAACGTAAGGTTCGCGGGGCTGACGAAAGTATGAGACACGGGCACATATCTCAATCTCTCAAATGTATAACGCCTCTATTCACAAACAGTCTCACAATGCGCGTGGACGCACAAGTCGCACAAGGTGACACACGAACCAATCATAGACCTCTATTCAACACTGTGCGTTCGATTTGCTGCTTCACTTAAGCAAGCATCGTTTGTAAATACGGGCGTAAGTATACCTACATACATAAAGTCATAATACTAGACACTTACTTGATTGATAGCAACTGAAAGAGCGATGCCAAGACGTGGTCCGAAGTTGGGCTGCACCCGCGTGATCACTTCAACTGGCTTGTACAGAGCGTTGCTCGACGCCAGCAAGTAGAAGAGGGTCGTAAAAAACACGATCTGTCCAACCATAGATAATTGAATGGTCAGACATTTTGATATATTTGGTGATTAAATGAAGTTACCTTATGTGAAGATTTAAAAAGATTAATGTACGAGGGATTATTTAAAAAAATATGCAACAACACTATATTTTGACCTAATTGTTATATCGAAGACGAAGTAAGAAGTATAATAATCAAGTAGTTGCGTTGCGTCGAGTTATACAATGTTACACGTTTTATAACTAATTGCAACTACTTTTCTTAGATACCTATTACAGTACTGTACGACTGAATGTCGTGAACTTGTGCCTTGATTAGGGATGAGCCTTACACCAACGAGCAAAGTAATAGCGCTTTTAGAGCCACCACGCTGGCTTGCATCCAGTCTCAAATTATAAGTTTTTGGGTGGCTTATAAGGTTTTAACTAAGACCGCCAGAAGGCTAACACACACATCAAGTTAGCATATCTCACCAAGTTAATAAACATGTTGATGATGGCGCCACCACCGCATAGCAGCAGCGAAGTAAAGGCGCCAACTGACCCAGCTAGTAGCGACACGTTGCTCGCCAAAGGCGCCCAGATGTTCGAAGCGATGGCGCTCAGAGTCCCCACGTTGGCTCGTACCCAGTCTATGATGCCCGTGTAGTCGAACATCCCTGAGGAAATGAGCTTTTTAAGTATTTCATTACCAATTTGAAGCATCCGAATTTCAATTCCCATGCGCAGTTTCAAAATTTCTCATCATCATCATCATCATTTCAGCCACAGGACGTCCACTGCTGAACATAGGCCTCCCCCAATGCTTTCCATGTTGATCGATTGGTAGCGGCCTGCGTCCAGCGCTTCCCTGCTACCTTTACGATGTCGTCGGTCCACCTTGTAGGTGGACGTCCCACGCTGCGTTTTCCGGTACGCGGCCTCCATTCCAGAACCTCTCTGCCCCATCGGCCGTCAGTTCTGCGTACTATGTGCCCTGCCCATTGCCACTTCAGCTTGCTAATACGTCGGGCTATGTCAGCGACTTTGGTTCGTTTACGGATCTCCTCATTCAAAATTTCTATTCAGTTTTATTCTGAGCTCTCGTTCCTCCCTAATCAAGGTCTATAATCGTTGACATTCACAAAACTCCCAACTAGGGAAGGCATTTGGGAGTCATATTAGAGGCTTTCATATACAGGGTGTTAGGTAAATGGGTATATGAGCCGACACTAGCTAGCCCATGTTAACATGGGCATATAAATGGTATGGTGAAGTAAGAAATTTGATATCATAATTTTATTTTTTTAAATTTTCATACAAAATAAATTTTATAAAATCCGATAATATGTATTATATCCGATATATCCGGTAAATGGTTACCTAACACCCTGTAGACTAGCGGCCGCCCGCGACTTCGTACGCGCGGACCCCGTTTTACTCGGACTTTCCAGTGTTAGAGATGTCATTAACAAAGTTGTCCCACGAGTCTTGGATGGCTGAGCCGTCGACTTGTGGCCCGACTTGAGCCGTGAAGTGGCCAGACACCCAGCTCTGGTACACGCGGTCCCAGATCTGAATTGTCTGTTGTTCGACGCGAGCTAAACCATACTCAAGTGAACTTACCAGGAGTGTTAGAGACGTCATTGACGAAGTTGTCCCACGAGTCTTGGATGGCTGAGCCGCCGACTTGAGGCCTGACTTGGGCTGTGAAGTGGCCAGATACCCAGCTCTGGTACACGCGGTCTCAGATCTCAAGTATCTGTTGTTCGACGCGAGCTAAACCACTAACTACTTATGATGACGTACCAAGAGTGTTAGAGACGTCATTGACGAAGTTGTCCCACGAGTCTTGGATGGCTGAGCCGTCGACTTGAGGCCCGACTTGAGCTGTGAAGTGGCCAGACACCCAGCTTTGGTACACGCGGTCCCAGATCTGAATTGTCTGTTGTTCGACGCGAGCTAAACCACTTACTACTTAAGATGACTTACCAGGAGTGTTAGAGACGTCATTAACGAAGTTGTCCCACGAGTCTTGGATGGCTGAGCCGTCGACTTGAGGCCCGACTTGAGCTGTGAAGTGGCCAGACACCCAGCTCTGGTACACGCGGTCCCAGATCTCAAGTATCTGTTGCACGACGAGAGCTAAACCACTTACTACTTAAGATGACTTACCAGGAGTGTTAGAGACGTCATTGACGAAGTTGTCCCACGAGTCTTGGATGGCTGAGCCGTCGACTTGAGGCCCGACTTGAGCTGTGAAGTGGCCAGACACCCAGCTCTGGTACACGCGGTCCCAGATCTCAAGTATCTGTTGTTCGACGCGAGCTATCTTCTCCGGGTCGCCTTCTTTGAGAATGCTTTTCACCTGTAAAGTTGTTTGAAGTTGCATAGCTAGTTTTAAAGCAACGCTATAAATTGATGAAATGTTTTTTTCTTTTATTTTATTATTTTCTTGTGATGACACAAGAAATAAATCAACAAAAGGTGATTTTAGTGTCAAACTTGGATGCTTGAATTTATGTTATTTCCGTGGGATATGATTTTTCATTCTAATGCTAGCATGAGTAGCATGAACTTTGACGTATTGACTGAAAAAATACCTTATGATTTTTTGGACTGAGTGGTTTAGAAACTTAACTATGTTCTTTTCTCTATACGCATGCGCCTGTGTGACGAGACTATTACTCAATACTTTACCACATTAGGTTTTACAACTTAAACAGAACAATGTGGAGTTACGGCACAGCAACTTTTGGATGAGCCAGAAAGATAATTTAAATAGAATAAAAACCGGTCGAGGAAGGTGTTAAGATGTCGTTGGTGGTCGATTATTTTTCAAGGCATGATTTTTGATATGAACATGCTGCTTTCTAAATATTATACTTACATAGTCTCCTATCTGTAAACGTTGTGTAGATATCCATTGCAAGCGAAATAATTTTGACAAGTTAATACAATACAGGGTGTAAGGGACAGATTGGGAAGAACTGAAACTGTGCACTTAAATCATTGCCAAATGTATGGATCTTTAAGCGAACTGTTTACGTTTTCTCAGCCTGTATCTTACGTCCTATACAAACTACAAAAAGTAAAGGTCCAGTCTGTCCTCTGGGTAAATGAAACAACAAAACACAGATGTATAAAACACAGCATGCATAGTAATTTCAACAAGGCGAATTGAAGTATTGATTGACTTGGCTATTAATTAAAAATTCTATCCTACACCACGTCAAGTACAAGTACATATCTATTTTCTTTTAATTTGTTATTATAGAAAATATGTACTAGAACTAAACTAATATAAGGGATAACAATAAACAATGTAGTAGTTAACACCATCAACCAACAATTCGAAGATATTGTAACTTATTTAGTTGGCGAACTAGTGACGTCATATCATGCCAATGTACAGACGTCAGCAGCACACACAATAATATTTTGGTAGTTTTGGCAGGTTATAAAACCATATATAATAAGAAAACTTACAGTGAAATAAACGATTATATTCTAAAAAATTAAATTAAGCAGGTACCTATGTCAATTTATCAGAGGTGTCTAATTAACTACCCTACATTATATTTTTCATAAGTAAAAAAAAATAATTTAAAACAAGCAATTATGTATACTCGTAGAACTATAATACTCACTCCAGTAGAGATTCCTTCCCGCCCATACGTATAGGCGTTGTCAATAAGCGAGTCCAGTTTCTCTTCCCAGCCCTCGGGGAGGTAAGCATGTAGTTCGCTGTTTTGAACGAAAGTGCTGTTTAGAAGACTGCCACTGAGCTGCACCACGACTATCGCCTCTGAGTATATCTGGAATAGAGTTCAAGTTTGAATATGTTTTTTGGTTGTGAACTTGATCATAGATGGCAGAAAATCTGCGAAATACGTTAGGCATATCCCACCAAAAATATTATAATGTAAAATGTAATATGACCCGCACTGTCATGAAATGATCTACCGTCTGCTTGTAGAGTTTAGAGAGTTATACTCTACAAGTTACAGTGGCGTAGCGTGGCTTTTCGCCGCCCGGGGCCGTCCGGAAATCCGCCGCCCTTTATTTTAATTATAAATATTTTAAAGTTTAAATATTATATTGAATGGACTTCAGGTACACTATTCGCCTTATTTGTTGAAAGTCAAAATAAACTACCACGCACTGCTTCAGAAGGAAAATACATTAAAGAGAAGCAATTGCTTGAAACCCACAGGAAGATTGATTTTCTTAAATAGCTCAGCTTTATTATGTAACACTAGGTGTATACAGTATAACAATAAACAATAATAACAAGTATTAAAGTATTTATTTGTCAATTGAGTGAGAGTAAATATTATCTTAAATTATAGTAGGTATAATAGTGCTCATTGAACTTAGAAGGAATAACATACAGTGTGAGTCACGTTAAAGTGTACATATGAAAATAGATGAAACTAGACCTATTTTTATCGACAAAAAAGAGGTCAAAAAATTTTTGAGTTTTTTTTAATTTTTTATGGTTTTTTTTTTCTTCCAATTACTTATTGTAAAGAAAACGTAATAACTTTTAAACTAAGCGGTATATCCTGATAAAATAAAAACAGTAATAATGCTTAATAACAGGCAATATTAAAAAAATACATAAAATACACAAAAAGGCCAACAAATAATAAAAAATTCGTGTTTTTTTTTGTTTTTTGATAAATTTCTCCAAAAAATGCTCCTATAACAGGTGGTTTTTATTACTTTGTATTATTCTCTATCGTATTATCTTTGTAAAACCAAAAATCGCATGTCTCTATCCCTATCACAACATTTGCTATGATCGTTTGAACAAAGGCCTGCCACAACATTATTCTCTGCTACAGTTAGAGACCATTTTAATTTTAACTAAAATGCTTATTTTACTTCGAAATCTTTTGTTTTTATTTGAAATCTAACTTTTCTTTATCAAAATAAGAAATCTAGAGCCATTTTCAGTTTCGTTGTTAACGAAGCGTTGAATGGCGCGCCCGGAGAGGCTTAGTTCAAACGATCATTGCAAACGTTGTGATAGGAATAGGGACATGCGATTTTTGATTTTACGAAGGTAATACGATAGATAATAATACAAAGTAATAAAAACCACCGGTTATAGGGGCATTTTTTGGAGAAATTTATCAAATAACCAAAAAAACACGAATTTAAAAGCAGATTTTATAATATGTATAATATGTATCGAAGCTATTTTTTAAAATAATTTGTTTGAATTCATTAGATATTTGCAGCAAGTTACAGATTTAATTACTGCTAAAAGTTACCATTTTAGCTAATTTTGAATTTCGAACTTGCAGAATATAATAAATACACGGTTTTAAAAGTAGCTTAGATATGGCTTTAACTATTTACAAACCACTTTTTTATTTCGGTTTGTAACAAGAGAAATCACGAAAGATTATCTGTGGCGCAAGTTTTAGAGGGATAAGTAAGCTCCTTAAATATTTTTGTTACTATTACTTAAAAAAATATTATTAAAAATGTACTCTTCGTGCTTTTTTCAATGCAAAATCTTTTACACAATCGTCGATATCAAATTGTATCTCATTTTTCAATTGCCAGTATAGCTAGATTTGTTAGTCTCAACGTAGACATAGTCGATTTTTTTTCCTTGTTCATGCAATGTTTTTTTTCTTATCCGCCGCCCCCTTTCATATGCCGCCCGGGGCCATGGCCCCCCCTGCCCCCCCCAAGCTACGCCACTGACAAGTTAAAAGATTTTTCACTAGTCGCGCGGTTATTGATTGTTGCACACATACTGTGCTGTGAAATTGTTTGTTTTTTGTTGTGCGACATGAATCAAAATTAGCAATCGTTCATCATAATTTATACTTAATTAAGAGTATCACATTAATAAATGAAAGAGCTACATTACGAGTATAACACTGCGAATAAAAATCATTGCCTGTGAAATCATATGAATAAAAATCATCATTTCATAGAATGAAAAATAACAATCATTTCCATGCCTACTACCCATCTTTATCGCTCGTGCGTATTTATATTGCTGTCGCGCTTGCACACTCACTGTGCAACGGGCGACCGCAGCGACCGGTCTTTACCATTTCTTTAGTATATTTAAAGCCTACTTACAAGAAAATGCTTTATAAGACACTGGCTACTTTTACTCTAGCCATATACAAAAAAAAAGATGCATTGAAAATATTGAAATGTACTGAATTTCGTATTTACCTGTATGCAAATGAATATCGTAGCGACAGTAGCGAAGAAGATGAGTCCCATGATGACGATGCACGTGGACACCGTGTCGACGGAATCGTACGCGATCTCGCTGAATCTGCTGTTGCATAGCGACATCATCTTGCCGATGCCTCGGATGTGAGCCGGGACGAGTGCTGAGTGCCTAGAAATAAACATAAAAAAAATTAAAATAATTAGTAGTATTAGATTTTACTAACTCAAATAATACTGCGGGCGGCGCAGGACCGGTCGTTGGGAAATCCTTGAGAGGCCTTTGTCCAGCAGTGGACGTCATTTGGTCGAAACGAACGAATACTCAAAGGCAATGCTGAGCAGGGATGTCTATAAACTAGTGGGCATCTGCCAGCTTAGGATGCGCGCGAAAAGAATGATCTTATCACCTAAAATAATAAAAACGATGTCACGTTTAAGGATCTTGGAGAAGGTTCCCATAATTTCCTTTAATTGTGTAGCACTAGATAAGCGAAATTAGAAATAGAGAAATGTTTCTCCTAACATAGTAATTAATTATATGCATTGTAAAGGTATTTTCACAGTGCCACATGGTGTATGAATGTGGTATGAACAGTACATTATATGAGACACGGATCTGTCACAATTTTAAACAATACAGCAAGCTTGGCATTATGAACAGTCCTTTACGTGATTGGTTTACTAGTTAGCTTTCGAAATAAATAAAATGATAGCCAATATTCACCTATCATTCCACCAGCATTTGATTTTGCCCATAACATTATTGTACTGATTCTCGCAAAACAGCCATACTCCGAAGTAATCTAGCAGTTTCTTTATAACGTGTATCGCTAGAAAGAAAAGCATTACTGGCAGCAACCATATATGTTTCCATACTAGCATACAGAAACATCCGAAGAATAAAAGCTTGAAGTACAATGCTGTCTCTTCATCGTTATCAAAGTTGCTTCGCATGTAATTTTCATCTAGAGACCTTTGCTTGAAAGATGCTATGAAGCGATTATCAAAGGCAGTTTTCATTTTTGTATTTGATAGTGGTAATGCGGATAAGGTTCTAGTTTTGTACAGCATTTTAGCATGTCTTGGAGAACTCTGTATTGGTTCATTGGATGTCCAGCTTCCCCTTTTTGTGATAGTGTCAGGCGTAACCGGTGAAGGAGTTTCTTTTTCAGGCGATGATTCTTGTTCACTGGTAGATTGTACAACTTCTGGAGGTTTTTCTTCAGTTGGACTAGTTACTTGTTTGTGTTCATTTGTGATGACATTGTGTAGTGCAACAAGCATAGAAGCTTCTGGATCTGTAATTTCGAAAAAAAAAAAGGTTTTAAAGATGTATTATTTTACAAATTCCCTTTACTTCTCCAGGAATGTTATGTGTTGTGGTAAGTTTAGTTCTGCAATCAGATTGAACTTGTGACTTCATGCATTGGCAGTCCCATGAGCAAAGCTATTGTTACCTCAATATAAGACAGTATATTATTAATAATATCAGAATTTGTATTATTTAATATACCTTTCATCAACAGTTGTTTATGTACATCCAAAACTTCAAGGGCAAAGCCAGCAATACAGATGGCTTGTAGAAACACAAATGTGTAAACCTGGTACGTGCCAGTGAGGCTTGCAAGGAAACAAGTTATAACAAGCCATGGCAGCTGAGAGGTTCCTCTGAACAGGCTTGCCCTTTGTGGTGTCCATAGAATGTAAACGCTTATAAAATACGCTATAGCAATGGTGAGTGTCTGAAAATAAAATAGATAAAGTTGTATGGTTACATAGTATTTTTTAACTTTATATTAATTAGGTACCTAAGAATCCTAACCATAGTTTCATGGAATACATATTATTAATTTACTCTAAGTCTTAGTTCTCTAGTCTTAGAGTCTAAGATGTATATGTATGATTAGTAATCATAACTCATACTAAAATATCTAAGTGGCTTGATCAAACATAGAATGTGACTCAGGGCAGTGATTAATGGATGTGTTGCCTTGTAATCTAAGAAATAGCGAGTAGGTGTACTCATCACTAATAAACTCTGAGTGGTTTGGAATGTAATCATTGTCACCTATGGAAAATTAATATTGTGTTACAAAGATAGCAAAGAAACTAAACCTATTTTACTTTACGTCAAGTTTCTTCTCCATAATTTTATTTACAATCAATAATGTATTCAATTATTGAACAAGTATGTACCTACAGACGACAGCACATCAGATTACCCATTTCTTTTTTGTTTTATTTGTAAATTCACTTTTATTAAAACTGCATAAGACCACAGTATTTACCTTGATGTGCCATCGTCTGTACAACCACAAAAATGTTATAAGTCACTTACAATGTATGAACTGCATAAATAAATGAGCATAGTAGTGGAGTGGCCCACGAAGCTGCATATTTGCCAGAATATGCAAGCAAAACTCCTCGGCACCGAGTTGTATAGCCATGGCAACACATATATAGTAGAGAGCAACGCTATCACAGTCTGGAAAAAGATACACAGTATTTAGTAAATGTTTTTATTTAACAACATAAACAGAGCTCTTAGCACAAAATTTTTTAGAAATTATTTTTAGTTTTTAAAAACATGCTCAGTAGGCAAGTCTGTTCTATAATAAATGTTAATATTAAAGAACACAATCTAAAACATTGTGTAGAATTAATTTAAATACATTTGAATAGCAAAGAAAGATTCAACGTTGTACTTGTTTAGAAGAATGAGACCTTGAAAACCACAAATAGAAGTTTGACATACCTTGTAATGTTCTCTAAATTGCTGTCCCACTGTGTCTGAAGCAAAGTTCATCACATTCATAGGAATAACCATTAGTCCTACTAAGACTGAGGTACGAGACTTGTCCAAATCTTCGAACCATGACTTGATTTGTCGCGCGAGTTTGTATTTAAAAGGGTGGAGAATAGAACCAACTAACAAAGCCCAAAATAAGGGTTTAAAGAAGGGCTCTAAGATTAAGAACAGCACATAAACCGCAGCACAACAAATAGTTAAAATAAAAAGAGCAAAGGCGTTATAAAACCCATGTTTCATCGGCTTTTCGTTGCCTTCAGACAAGCCACCTATTATGTTAAATATATTTTCAAATGGCGATTGCTGCATGTTTAAAACTTAATGATAACAATATTAACACAGGGAAAAGGCTATGAGATCATAGTTAAATTTTTCGGAAATTCTCCTGAGTATTGTTGTGACTGACATTGAAGACAGCTGTGTTGCGTCAGTTTGACATTGACGTTAATGACAATGACATTCAATTTCATTTGCGAAGTTAGTTTAATTTCGAAGATTCCGTGGAGGGTAGTTGAACAGTTAAGCCTAGGGCGGACCAAACGCGGGGCAGTAGCAACGCAGTTTGAATGCGGGCCCGCGCAAGTTGTAATACAAGAAACTCTTTGAAGTATGCCACACCAAATTTGAACGCGGGCCCGCGCTCCTACCGCGCCGCACTGCAGTTGCAACTGCCGAAATACAAACGAGGAGGCGGCGCGGGTGCGGGACAGAAGCGACGCGAACGCGGGCCCGCGCTGTTGTATTACTATGATGGCGGCCATATTAGCATGACACACCGGACGCAGGGCGGTAGCAGCGCGTTGAAAGCGGATTTCGAATATTTAAATTTTTGACAACCGCCCGCGTTGCTACTGCTTTGAAACTGCGCTGCTTTCAGTGTGCCTCAGCCGCGCTGCAACTGACCCGCACTGCTTCTGACCCGCGTTTAGTCTGTGGAAGCCTTTATTATTTAATGCATATTGATCGGTGTTTCGTCCGTTATTAAAGTACAGTAAAGTGATAGGTATATTATTAAAAAAAACATTGGTTCGAAACACTTTGAATTTGCGCGCATGAGCCATACACGGTGTCAAGCGAGTTTTCGTGTCAACACATAGGTACTCGTAGTGCTCGTAGTGTCAACAACTCGCTTTCTACACGTTTTAGATCGTCGATCCTAATGGGCAGTCATACCCGTAGTAGGCGTCTTGAAATTGCTTACGGGAATGGGCTGATTGCTGATGAACCCTGAGTTTTAATTGCCAATAATAAAAGAAGTAGGTACCCGTAAATAAAAATTAACATTGAAACAACAACAACGTAATAATTTATTTTATTTTATTTAAACACAATCAACTACTGTAATTAACGTGGCGGTAACGGTTAGTAAGAAAGAAGAAGTTACATACAGTATTTATGGATATTTTTATTTTTTAATATTAATTTTGCTGTAAAAAAATGATCTGCACTCAAAAACAAATACAATAAACGCCAAACTATATCCCACAAGGAGTACACAGAATGCTTCCCTAAACTGATGCAACCACTCACGAGACTTCGGCATATTCCGCTGCTTAATGAAATGACTCTGAAATAGGATATCACGTAATTTCTTTTTTTGGAGACCGCCAAATAGTATTCTTTGTGAAATTTTTTCGTAAGACCTGAACAAAGTGGTACCGCGTTCAAATAATGTCGTCCGCATCAGGAGCGCCAGTGGTTCAATCGTTTGATATACTTCAGGTTCACCCGTTGAATCCAAAAATTGCCAAGAAAGAGTTTGATATTCCAAATCAGATACTGCAGTGTACAATTTTTCATTCCGTCTATCCATAAGCTCGTGCAAACATATAATTGAGGCTGTGCATTCAGGAGGATCTGTAGACTCAAAATTTCTCTTCCACATAGGGCTTCTCAACGGTTTACATGTAGACAATGCCTCGCTTAAACGATTTATTTGATATCCTCGTATCGGATTTGTTGTAGCACTTAGTATATAAGCCTGAACCATGAATGTTATAAAGAAAACAGAAAACAACATGCAACATACAATCATCCTGAGAGAACTTTTCTTTTTCATCGTATGCGTATTTACACAGATGTTGCCAAGAATATATCCGAAGACAATAAAAATGTCTCGAATGGTATCCTTTTTCTTCTTTTCGAAAATAGAAAAATGTACAACAGCAAAGCAGAAGAATGCAATTAGCAGGAGAATGATGACGGTGGTGGATATACTGAATTGTCTGAGCACCGCTGGCCAGTTGTTCATGAATGGAGCGCGTGCGACCATCACGCGACTGTTGTCCATTAGAAACGGATATGTATTATCCATGGCTCTCGCTCGAGGGTAATGAACCAAATACCCTCCCGCAGCACCATCCACGTCGCCCGACTCAATCAAACTAACCATTCCTGTAAAGGTGAAATTCTTGAGAACTGTCCCAAAATCCATGTTTATCGGATATTGCACATATTCTAAGTTAATTCCTTCCGCTTCTGCCCACATCGACAGAACATCTTGAGTAATTCCCGGCCCCAATGTGTGGTTGAAACTGGTGAAGGGCCAGTAGTCGTGAGTGACTATTTTAACATGACACCCTTTTAGTGTTTCTGGTATTTTGTACCGAAATATATTTTCTGTACCACTCAGTCCCGAGCATTGTGAGACCAATTCCAATGTAGTGATTGCTGGTTTTCCGCAGACATCTGACTGAGGGTTGAATGCATAGACTTCATAATCGGTCCCACTCTCACTTGGTGTGAGAACAGTCACATTGAAAATATTAAGCTTCCATAGCAAGCCAGACACTAGTTGAATATGACCGTCTAGGTGATCCACAACTATAATAAAATTTACTCGTGGATTAAAGAAAAAGTCATTTCTAAGTTTCTGTATACCATTTTGTAATTGTTGCATGTCATCACACTGTATTATGTAAAATATGTTTGGAAACATATTCGGCCAAAAAAATGAACGAGATATAAATCTTACGGGGGTTTCATGCAACATAGTCAATTCATTGATTTCTTTGAAATTGACGAAGGTCAAGTCGGTAACATATCCAGTCGTTTTAATGATATTTTCAATGCAGTTAGCCACTTTATACTTTTCTGAATTAACATGCATCATTAGGCAATTGATGAAAGTAACGGTAAAAAGGAAACAAATTAAGAAAATCTTAGCGTAATGCATATTTTGGAAATGATACGATGGGTCTGATTCCTATAACTTGCAGGTTAAGAATAATCAGGTTATTCTCAAAATTACTTGGAGTTGTATGAAAGTGATAAATGGAGAATCTTAAGTGGTTTTACTTGTATTGTGATAATAATTTCCATTTGCAGCTAATGGAGGGCTAATGAAGTAACAATCTTGTTTGCTTAGTAATAAAAACGCTAGGAAGAGTTATTCTGTACAATTGAATGTAACATAATTTTATTTGTCATTGTGTACCTTTCATAAATATTATTACAATCAATAAACACAACGTGAAATATCACCGAAAGTAACTAATTATTATTCATTACATAAAGTAAATACAATGCTTTCAGTAATGTCATTAGGGTAATTTGTAAGTACAAGTCCATTAGTCGAATGTTTAGCTAACAAAGTAAATATAAAAGAGGAGGTAAGAAAGTATATTTTTCAATTAAGCTACCATTATTGATAAAAACTGTTATTAATAACAGTTCTACAACAGTGATCAACACGTAATGCCTCAAAGTGCATAATTTCATTAACAATTTGTGTTTAACGTATGTAGGTTTAGATTATTCTTTATTCTTTAGTCTCTGGATTCGGTCGTATTCGAATTCAATAGTTTCCAAAAATGTATTATGCTGAAATTGTCTTGATGTGTTTTCTTTTTGTCATTACTTCTCTTGATTGCAAATTCGTGGATGTCTCAAGAAAAGACAACGTGGCTAAGTGCATACAACGTATTACTAAAACTACAGAAAGTATTATTACCGATTTGACCGTCGTTAACTTCAAAGAGAGCAGTGACTTTGCCTTTTTATTTACTAAACCAGTAACATTTGTATCTCGTGCATTTCTGTGGCCAGATAACACATTTCCAAACAAATTTTACGTGATACATTGTGACGACTACCAAGAATTTCAAAGTGGTATACAGCAACTTAGAAATGACTTTTTCTGGAATCCAAGAGGACACTTTATTATAATCATCGAGCAATTGGATGGTCACATTCGACTAGTGTCGGGCTTGTTATTAAAACTTAACGTTTTTAATGTAACCGTTGTTACCCCGAGCGAGAGCGGGACTGATTATGAAATCTATGCCTTCAATCCCCAATTAGATGTTTGTGGAAAACCTGCTATTAAGACATTACAATTTGTCACCCAGTGCTCAGAACTAAATCCTACAGACAACATATATCAGTACAAAACACCTCAAACATTAAAAGGGTGTCATGTTAAAGTAGTCGCTCACAGTTACTGGCCCTTCATTAGTTTCAACAAAACTTTAGGATCAGGAACTACTCAGATTCGTTTGGCACTGTGGGCAGAAGCTGAAGGTATCAACGTGGAATATGTGAGGAATAATATGACAGATGACTTTTTTGGAACTATTTTGGAAAACTTCACCTTTACAGGAATGCTTAGCGAGATTGATTCGGGAGATGCACATGTTGCTGCAGGGGGGTTAATTCTTTTGTATCCTCGAGCTAGGGCTTTGGATTATTCATACCCGTACAATCTGGACTACAATTGGGTGGTAGTCACTCGCGCTCCACTTATCAACAATTGGCCAGCGGTGATGAGGCAATTTGGTTTAACTACAGTCATTGTTATTTTCCTGCTTATTGCATTTTTCTGCATTGCTATTGTACATTTCTCAGTTTTTCAAAAAAAGAAAAAAGATGCAATTCGAGACGTTTTTATTGTTTTCGGGTACGTTTGTGGTAATAACTCAGTACATCCAGGAACGATAAGAGACAGAAGTTCTCTCAGGATTTTCGTGTGCTGCATGTTGTTCTTTGTTTTCTTCTTGTCGTACAAGATCCAAGCTTTTATACTGAGTGCTACTACTAATCCGATAAGAGAGTATCAAATAAATCATTTGGACGAGGCTATAAAGACATGTAAACCTTTGAAGAGTCTAATGTGGCTGAGATCTTATAATATTAACGATACTCCCGAATGTTACACTATCGTTGGATGTTTGAACGAGTTGAAGGAAAGGCGAATGGAGAAGCATTACACGGTGATCGCGGATACAGAGTTCCAGATATTTTCTTTGCAATTTCTGGATTCGAAAGGTGAACCTGAACTGATCAGAATGCTGGAACCATTATCTCTTATATTGCGGACGATATACTTTACCCGTGGTTCTAGTTTGTATCCGTCCTATGCTACGTATTCCCGAAGAATAAGATCTGGTGGTCTATTAGAGAAAAGATCTGAAGATATCCTGTTTAGGAGTAAATTGACTGTTCGTCGCTTTGATGTGGTGTCCTCCGAATGGCTGCACCAGTTCAGGGAAGTATTCTGTGTTCTTCTTGTGGGATACAGTTTAGCAACAATAGCTTTCATTTATGAATGCAAATCATACTTGAAGAAATTTCCAATTGGAAAAAATACGAATAACAGGAAATGACACAGAAATGAAAAAAACTATAAACTTGAAAATAAAGGTGTGTAATATAGTACGTTTTCATTAATTTATTATCGAATATTTAAGTATTTGAAATGTCTTCTTCACAATCTCAATCCTGATGTAATTGAAATTTAATCTACTCATATTATACGAATACCTACCTACACTTATGGTGAGTTGCACCACCTAACTTTGACCGTAACTTTAACGATAACCGGTGTTTTTTGTATGGAGTTTGACAGATTTTTGACGTTTGTCAAGTTAAAGTAAGATGTTGCAACTCAGCCTTATTATTGTCAAACAACTGAGTGACTGAGTGTTAATAAATTGAATCAAGTTATTGTGGTTTTTTTTTCTAAAAAGAAGCATACCTACAATAACCAGTGGTTGCTGTTATAACAGTACAATAATTAAACACGTAAGTACTCAATGTTTCTTTAATTGGTTAAACTTATTAAAGAAATGACTGAATAAAATCATCACCATCATCAGTTAATTGTTAGTGTTAGACCAGTCATCAACGTCTAATGTTTGTTGAACGTTGAACAAGGATATACTCGTAGGTCGTCGTATAGGTTGATATTCTTTAAGGACGTTGCCTGTTGTTTCTCCAGAGAGAGCGAAGTCTATAAAATATGTCAGGACATCTATAGCAGCCTGTGGTTGGTCATAGGGGACCATGTGGCCGGCACCTCGGACCATGACATCCATGAAGTTGGCGTATTTCTTCAGGTATCTGCAACATATTACATGAGTGTCACAAAACTTCGTAACTCTACAAGAAATAATTGCTTTATTTTCTATACATCCTGATTTTAATTTCGTAGTAAAAGAAAATAATATACAACATAATATAAGTATAAGTACAGAAAATGGGAAACAATATTTTAAAGTTTAGAATAAGTAGCTATGGTTAGATACATTATACAATTACGTGTTCTTTATGTGTCTAGTTTCATTTACATTAACATTTAATAATTTATATCTATCTATTTCATGTAATGATTATTTCGCCGTTGTCGCCTTTATATTTTTTTATAAAAAAAACATAATACTCTTACACTGATGGTGTTCCACTTGTATCATCATAAAGTCCTCTACGAGCTTTCTTGTACCCGTCAGCCCCCGACCACTTCAGGCTTTGGTAAGTATTCACAGATAGAGGATAAGCTACGATGACATCCAATTGGCCACTAAAACAGTATGTAATTATGATTGTGAGGGTGTTACCATTAAGGGCCCTCGCCCACGGCGACAGCATCGCTACTAACGCGCGTCAGTCGCATTTGCAACGCACTACAGAAGCGATGCCAACGCGCTACTAACGCGCTACAGCAGCGCGACTGCATCGCTACGACTGCATCGCTACAAAAAGTCGCCATGTATACCAAACCCCAAGCGGTCGCTTAAGACCGCGTAACAATTAATTTCTATAGCGTCTCGATTCGCGGGTACTTGAAGGGATTAATAAATAAATATCCTTGGATTCTTTGGGCTATCTTAGTCCCAAACAAACAAAGCAAAGCTTGTACCTATACTATGGTTAATTTTAAACTTTCGCGTTTCATAATTGAATTAATTTAAACAGGTTTTAACGCGATACGAGTACATTACGATATCGATAGGTAACATTAAAATGTTTCATGTGTTAGCCTGACGTTTCGACCGAGTCGCACCGGCCGTGGTCAGTACAGGTAATATTTTAATTGTGCTATGGTAACAACAATAACTATGGTTAACAAGCTGAATGTGATCCTATGGCTCCCATGGAGTCATTGTCATGCCCTGTTTATTGATTTGGTAGAGAAGTAGAGAAAAAAGCACATAATATTATTAATATCACCTTAATGAAAAAGGGCCACTTTATCTTTGATATTACATATAAAATAAAGATATTATGTTTGGAATGTATACTGTCTAGCTCGCATCAATATTTATAAATAAGTATGTATATTTTAAAGACTGTAAATCCTTGAAAAGGAGGCTGACAAAATAGTGACTGAGTTTCTTGCGCTGCCTCTTCTCAGCACTGGCCCATTTATTGTCCCGAAGCAGTGGTAGGATTAATACTGGGACGTGCAAAAGTGCTTATTTGTGATGGGGGTGATTTTGAGTGACTGATATATGCTGTCGTTTTACATTATTAAACGCTCACCTGTATCCCAGGACGGGGTACTTATTTTCAAGTAGTTCCTCTAGCCACGGTTTCACAGATAAATAAAAGTCATCTGACATAGCAAAATAAACGTCAAAGTTTATATTTGTAAAATTGGTACGTCCCACATGAAGTGCTTTTTTTACTTCTTCCGTGTTTAGAAACTTGTTATATTCAATTCCTGGTACTTCGTCATCTATATAATTATAAGGATTGAGTATCGTAGCGATTTTAAAAAAATGATCCAAAGCAGCACTGGCTTCCTGTTTAAAATAAGCATAATAAATATTTTTAAACGTAATACTATAAAATTTCGGCTGAAAAGTCAATATTAAATTTTAATAGAAAAGCCTTAGAGTGAAAACTTCAGGAATGCATTTTTTCTCATTTATGTATTTTGACCAGTCTTACAGAATATAACAGTTCTGGAATTTCCTCCTGAAAAATTACATAAGTACTTGGAAGACACTTAAGAGGTTTTTACTCTAAGGCTTCGATATGCTGATTGAATAAAATATTTGGAGGGAAAGGATAAGGGCTGGATACATTATTATAGTGTTTTGTTCTTACTTTTTTGTAAGTTTTCAAATCACCATCTTTGTAAGCTTTTTTAGCAGAATCTTCAAAAGCTTTTACTTGTGCCGCTTGGTTTGGGTCTAAGTAGCCAATTTGTAAGCCGAATTCTGAGTATTGCAACAGCGTTGGCGGATCAGTCCAGCCGTCTCCGATGGCCAAACCCTAATGATAAAAAAATACTTTATTCTTTGAATAAAACATAAAACTTTTGGCTAGTTATAGTTATGTATACGAGTCTAGAATCTAGAGTTTATTCTATTAGAATTAAGGACATAGCACATTTATTAACCCGAAAAGGGATCGTACGTAACCATATCAACTCGAGGTGGTCAGTATTCTTTGTATGAAACTCCATACTGCAACACACACTATCTGCACCGTAACGCCTCGCAATTGACAGCGCGCAAAAGGCGATAACAGCACGCGAAAGGCGATACGGTGTTGATCCCTTTCCGAGGTGATAAGTCCGCAATGACCTTTATTATGCAGAAGTATACTTTAACAGCAAAGACTAAGTAATAACCTAACAATACTAGCAGTAAAAATGTAAAAATGTTTCAATTATTCGAACGCAATTTTTAGTTTTTATTTCATCTTGTTTCTTAACCCTTCATTTGGCAGTGATGCTTTTAAGCAACAACCACTTTGAATATTTCTACAGCACCAAATAATAAGTTTTGTGCAAATCATTCGATTTTGTTACAAAGCTTAGTTCAGCAAAACACTAGTAAATCGGTCGTCGACTGAGTTTTGAGTGATTTCATATCCATATTTCTGTCAGACGCCAAGATGACGCGCAATGAGAATAACAAAGACGGAAGTTTTATGATTTTGTACTATTTTATCATCTCTAATTATTTTTGTTTTGTCTAAATTTAATTCATAATAAATCAAACTAATCATATAAAGCAATATTTGGCGTAGAAATTGTGTTTTCTAATACATGACATGCTTCCGAACCTCGATGTTGCCTAGAAGCAACAGTGCCAAACATCTAACAAAATAGGTTTAGCTTTTTGTTAATACAAAAGAGTGTCAATACACAATAAATCAATCATGTATTACATGAATAATGTTATAGAGATGGTATAGTAATTACTTTTGATGCAATTACGGACCCTGTCGGGCACAGCATTTTAGGAGAGAGGAAGAATTTGCTGTCTGTCTCTGTGTTGTTTGTCTTCACACTTATACCGCTGAACTGATTTAAATGATAAACACATTTTTCTTGCGTTGAAGTCAACAACTATAGCAGATAACGGTAACATACCAGTTTCAGAAGCTAAAGAGAAAATAAAAAGCCAACCTTGGCTCGGCATATTGATCGTGAAGTATGATGACATACGTCATCTATCAAATGTTGGAGAAAAAGGTCATTAATCGACTTTGCGAAAATGGCCAAAAAAAAGTTTAATGCATAAAATGTGAAATACGATTGGTTTTTTTAAGATTTTCATATAAAAAAAATAATTCTATAATATATCTCAATGTTTTATTTAAGAACCCCTATTTGGCAATGTGGTAAATAAGCAACAATCGTTTTTCGCGAAAATACCAACCAAATATTTTTTTTACTATTTTTCTTAACTTAATTTGATAGTAACAATTAGGTCTAAATAGATTTTATTGAAAAAATCAAACAATTTGTGTCTTGCCAAATGAAGGGTTAACTGTAAGATATTAAAATATAAGAACTTACTTTTAAATTTATGTGTTGGGACTTATCACGGTTGTTGACGTTGTTGTGGTGGATATAATGGCCAAAAGCAGGAATGTATTTCCCGGCATAAGATTCCCCGGTGATAAAAAGAGGTGCCTCCCTTAGTTCATCGAAAACCATCAGGAATTGTTGCACGAAGCTCAGAAGACCAGCACCGACCTATAAGAATAGGTATATTTATATTTATTTCATATGTTAATTCACTTATATATAAACTTGCAAAAGTGGCATGTTTAAAATGCTATCTACAAGAATTTAATATTATTCATTGTCGTTAATGAATAGTGAACATACTTACCTCATACCCATAAAAGTAAACAATAAATTACTTCTTTATTATAAATTATTAAACTTAGAATTCTTAAACTTCAATGTTTATTAAATCTACCTACTTTATGAGGTACTTACAAAACACGGAATTAAATTTTTATAACTTTTTAATCTGCCAATAAATAAATTTATGATTATGGTTGTCTTGTTGATGACTTAAGGTAAGTGCCCCCTACTTCGGTATATTAAGGCTCTAACGACTTTAACATTTTATTTAAAAATAACCAAGCATGATATCAGTATGAAAGCTTTTGTATGCTAAACTTTGGTCTTTTGACAGTAAGTTAATACATAATTTATAGATATATAGTTTGAACTTTTTTTTATATTAATTGTTCTGCGGACCTCTTGTTTGGATCCTGTTTCGTGACAAAATTTTGCTCTGTTTCTAAGTTCGTGAACTCATGTCCCCTATTTCGGGATAAGGTTTTATGCATACAGTTAGGATATTTTACTAATGATTAAGGGTTTAATAAATTTAAAAACGATAATAAACTGGCAGCTATGCCTGCCTGTGATTCCTACTGATGATGATGATTTATCCGACCGATTTCGGTCATGGTGACCACTTCGACTTAGCTGTCTTAGCGGCGCTGGTGCGCCCGAAGATGGCTTACATAGCCGATCTTCGCGGCAAACTCCTCGCACATTGAGAGTAATTACCCGCCGCCAACATAATTATAGTGAATGGCGGCAGATGGACGGGATTTACATCATCGCGTTTTGCGTCGAGTTCAGTTGTGCGCTGCTGTTGTTGAATTCGCGGACTGACCTCTACACAACACAATCTCCCGCCATTCTAGGTGCTGTGCTGCCAAACCTTCCCATTGTGATTTGAGAGGGCTCATTTAGTATCTTTTCGTATGCTGCTTCTGGACATCTTTGTACTTGACTATCTGAGGAGTTGACCGCCATGTTTCCGCTTACCCTCCTTAAGTTCAAAGTAGAAGATTGATCCCTACTATGCTAATTGAGGACAAAAGACGCAGGAGGACAAAGTGACTGACATAGCCCACAGATCGCCGCCACTGCCACTTGAATCGCTAAAATCAAGTGGCAGTGGGCGGGGCACATATCTCGTAGAGCTGATGGCCGCTGGGGCAGTAAAGTTCTTGAGTGGTGACCACGAGCCGGAAGACGTAGCGTGGGCAGGCCTCCCACTAGGTGGACCGACGATTTGGGGAAGGTCGCAGGAAGTGCCTGGATGCGAGCGTTGCAGGACGTCTTTCGGCTAAAACGAAAGAGCTAAAACGCTAAGAGAGATGGCTAAGCTAAAGAAATAGCCAAAATGGACCCTCGTAAAGCACTTGCATTTGATCTGGTCACCATGAAGTCCATGGTCTTGACAATGATCACATTGAGTGAGAACCTCGCAAGTCTCTTAACTTTGGAAATGATCCATAAGGCTGGCAAGTGGCAAGTCGCCTAACTGATCCTCTTATCGCTCAATTAATCTGACATTTGTATTGTTAAAATTATGGGAAAGGATCATTCTTGCTCGTTTATTCCCTTGCCTAAGTATGACCCATGTAATATAGTACACCCGAACATAAATTTTGGCAGAAACCATACCAACCATAATCAGTACAATGTTTGGAAAAGAAAGAATCCTGTACGTCTGCTTTCGCTGCGGCTTCAGCTGGGTTTATCATAAAGGACTACACGAGAACCTGATCTCAGCCAAACCCGCTATCCAAATATCAAAGTATCTATGATCAAGAGAGCTAATTTACTAAGGTAAACCACTGCTCTAGTGGCTCAAACCCCAAGCAACTGCAAATCACCTGATTAGTCTTGACAACAGATACTAAAAATGCAAATTTAAAAAAAAAACCTAATGNTACATCACTTTACACGAATGTAAAGTTGCCGTGCATGGCGATATAACTGGGTTTTTATTTAATTACGAAAAAACTACATGCTATATTTCCCAAACTGGCACACTGCCTAATTATATCTAACATTACCTTTCACCTAAAAAATATTTCACCAAGTTATCTCTAATAGCGACGAAGCAGGATTTTTTTTAACTTCAAATGCGATTTCCCAAAAATCACCATTTTCGACTTAACTCCGTTTTCACTGGGGGTACAGAAATATTATTCAATCCAAAATCGGTACAGTACTAAAATCCATGAGTGGTCCCAGTCGCCGGAAGAAAATTATTTAATTTTTACGCATCCGGCGACTGGGACCGCGGTCCCAGTTAATTGCGGTCCCAGTTGACGGAATCCTCGGCGCTGCTTGGATGCAGACCGCTACCAACCGGGCCATGTGGAAATCATTAGGGGAGTATTATTCAACAGTAACCAAACAAACAATATAATATAGGTATTATTATATTGACTTTAGGCATAGGTACCTTTTCCATTTTCATACTGTAACGGACCGATTTCTTTAAAAAGTCCAAACAAAGACGAAGCTCCTGGCCCGCCTTGCAACCAAATCACCAGTGGCGTTTCTTCTAATTTCTTCTCTTCAACGGGGAAATACCAGAAGAACAAGTGGGAGGCGGCTGTCTTGTTCACCGTTATAAACCCTGAATGGCTCTTGATTCCAGTGAATAAGGTTGGGTCTACATTAGACAGAGATCTGGCTTTGTCTATTTCACCCTTTTCGATTAGCGGCGTAAGTATTAATGGCCCATCCTCCTCCGTGGAGGCGAGAGGAGCTACGCCTCGGCAGAAAGCACTGCCGCTGTAAAAGATTGAAATGTTGATTTCATCGTTCACAGCATATTAGTATACTGCGTTTAAAATATGGTACGAGTAGAGTTATAGAAATAATGAGTAAACAAAAAATATTGGCCTTTATAAAGCACTGTCAAGTCTGGGCTACAGATACGTTATAGTGATGGTGAAAGTTATGTTATTTCAACATAAGGTATGTTGCGTTATAAATAAATACATAATTTAATTATTTAATTTTGTTATGCACTTACTCGTTATTCATTATTCATATTTTCATATATTTTCTTACATCTAAAATGTAACTATTCTATGGTTAAACTTTCCTTATTGACATGACGCGTAGAGATGTGTGGCGTGTTTTACGCACCAGTTGTGTCAGTAAAATTGTCGCACGTGTGACGTGGGTATGCCCGCTTACGCCAAAGGAAAATGTTAAACTATCCATTTCTATTTCGGAACTTTATTATAGTTTTGGGTCTATTGAGTTAATAAACCCTTCACTAATAAAAAAATACACGCATGTTGAACAGTAGGTATAAAATTTATGCGTGACTTTATCCCATATTACCTACTCGTATGCCTAGAACTATTTAGGTCTCAGATTTTTAAGTCATTTGGCATATTTACAGTTTTTTTATAGGCATCGCAAGAAAACGGGTCGTTGTCATGTCTCTAGGCATATAAATAATTGGGACATTAAGCGCCACCCGAGGGACCCGTCAGGTTTTTAGTGGGTAGGCTCTGCCCTTTTGGCAGGGAGAGCCCCACATAACCTTTTTTTTTTACGGGGAAAAAATGCGTTGAAACGCATACCTACCCTGCGGGGACAGGGTAGGTTATGTGGGGCTCACCAAGTCAGAAGGACGAGGCATACCCACTGAAAAGACCCCGGTGCTCCGTCACTCGCCTAAGTGGGAGGAGACAAAAGAAAAGGATTCAACGCGCGTGTAACTGTTAAGGATTAATGCTTTAAATCCTGATTCCGATAAAAATGCGATAAGATTTATTCGTTCGTTTCAGCCAAATGACGTCCACTGCTGGACAAAGGCCTCCCCCAAGGTTTTCCACAATGAACGGTCCTGCGTTGCCCGCATCCAGGCTCTTCCCGCGACCTTTACCAGATCGTCGGTCCACCTAGTAGGAGGCCTGCCCACGCTACGTTTTCCAGCCCGTAGATTTATTAAAGTATCTTTATTAAATAGGATCGAGACAACTCAATCGAAGAAAGTAATAAAATTTAATTTTAACATTTCTTTGAAGATGAACTTAAAGATAACTTTAGAAACTAATTATAAAATTAGAAAAAAATATCGTTAACTATGAAGTTAAGAATAATTTATTGTTGTAACTCTTACCTCACAAAAAGCAGCAGAGTGCAGACCAGCAGCATGTTGGTATTGGAAATAAGTAGAAAATGACATGTCCGATGTTTTTATTGTTTTTCACTTTATTGCTAATAAATACCGATGATTATCTAGCACCTACATACTATGAATATGGTATGTATACGCCTGCTTGAAATAGTTCAGAAAATTATTAAGTGTACTTATCTATGCATAGTTCTGTGTACCACGTTTAATACTTACTCGATGCAATACCGCGAAGTATAATATGGCGATAATTTCAACACAGTAGGTACTATCACGATTTTATGCGAAATTTAATTTTAAATCACATAAGTACTATTTTTTCAAGAATAGAAGAATACCTAACGCCAAGGAGAATTTTAACATGCAATTAAAATCCGAAGTAAAACCTTCGGTCACAATGGAGTAGGGTGCAGACCCCACTATGTGTCCTACCCATAGTTACGTTAGTAGCATATTCCCACTATTTATTACCATAATCTGAGTGGCCCGTCCAGTATTTCATGTTTATCTGGAGCCCAGGGAACCGATCGGACTCACGTGGCCTCCTTCTTTATGATCCTCGTACAGTCAGCTTCAAATAGTTCGTGACACCCAAAGTGGCCAAAAAGTTGGAAACATGTCTTTGTTGCATTAAGGAATAAGGTACCTAGTGTTATCAACTTATTGCGTCTTCTTCTTCATTTGTTGATGGCGATGGACTTGTGTTTTTTCGCCACTGGGAGCACACTGTTCCGCCAATGTCAAGTGCGCATTGGACACTTTGGGTGTCACGAAATATTTGACGCTGACTGTACTTACTATGCCAATACCAACTTATCTTTATGTTTTCGTAAATAAATCCTTTCCACAATTAGATACCTAGTTGTCACCTAGCCTGCAATTCTAGGGCACCATTTTTGTACAAATAATAATAGAGCAGTGATTATTTTTCGAATGTAGATTGTAGGTATCTACCTAAGCCTACATAAGAGTGCATTTTAGCCCTGAAATTTCACAACAGTTATGTAACATTTCAAGTTGCTTTAAAATCAATTAGTTATTTGGGTTATTAAAAAGACTGACGTCACTAACAAGAAATGGTTGGCTTTTCCTTTGGCTAAGCCAAAGTTTTATACCCATGTGAATGACTCGTTCTTCGTCTTCGTTACTACACTATTGAGCTTAAACTCTACATTTAGAGCAAGTTAAACTCCTATCTAAATCTTAACGAATAAAGATGACACCTTTCGCATGGTTCATCATGAAAAAATAAAAATTAAGGTTGCGTCACTATGATGTCACTACAATGACTAAGTAAACTGATGCAAAATGTTACAAATTATAACTTAATTAGGTAAAACAGTGTTCAGATTAGTCATGTCTAAAATATGCAAAAGGACGAGAAAATATTGGGAGTTGGGACTCCACGAACAAGACGTTCAAGATAGAATCAAATGGCGGCGCATGATTGGGGTACCCGACCACGTAAGACCCACCAAGGCAGAGCGGAGCGGAGCAGAGCGGAGAAGTGTTTTAAATAACGTTCGTTCGTTTCAGCCAAATGACGTAACGATTGACGATCTTTTTAAATAACGATTCCACTCCTATCCGCGTCGCGCCGACTTAGGTGACATTTCATCCGAAAATATCTCATCCGCGGATGAGTTGTCTCCCTTCCAAATTTGTAAGGTGTCGAATCATCCGCTAAATGATCAAAATCTTCGCATGAAACGTCACCGTTTTAAACTTGAAGGTGTCGTCTCATCTTAAATAATATTAATTTAATTAAATTAGATCTATCTTCCAAGTTGGTTTAATCCGAAGATAAATATTTTGCGGATGATTCGACACCTAACTTTGAAAGGGAGACAACTCGTTCGCGGATCATATTTTCTCGGATGAAATGTCACCTAAGACGTCGCGCCGCTTCCGCTGTCAAATCCTATACAGAATCCTATAGGCCCGACACTTCTCCGCTCTGCTTTGCTCCGCTCCGCTTTGATGGAAGCCGCGCCTACGGGATAAAACGAGACAAAAGAAGAAGAAGTGTTCAGCTTAATGTGTTTACCATAATATTAGCACAGATAACATATTACTACTCGTAGTATTAGTAATTCAGTACGCAAATACATTTTCCGGTTTTTCTGTGGAGGAATCTCATTCATTAAATAGGAGGAAGTGTGTGTGGGTTTATTAATAGGTTTGAATTTGAAAAGGTACTGCCCCGTTTATGAGTTTGTCCATGTACCTACCTATCAAAAATTTTACTGTAACATTTTTAGAGTAAGCATTTCCATCCCCATCACTCGGATGGTTGGCAGTCCACAACTGTGGGTTACTTTAGAAACTTCCTGCCCCGCACAATAAAACTGTGGAATGGACTTTCTTCAGCCCTACTATGACGATATTGTATGGAACATCAGAAAAATTTCACTGTAATTTTCTATCAAATTACACATTTCTCTGACACCTCACAAAATGGATATTATTGAAAACTCCTGAAAACGGAAATATTAAGAAGATACTATCTGATTTAATTAATGATGATGGTAATTGGATTTTAGATTTTAATTATGATGAAATGCATGTAAATGCCATAAGCACAACCACTAACATACTTATATTAAGATGCCGCAGGAAGTTTTTATTATTTCACCGCTGATCTTCATTTAAACACTGGTTGTTGCCATTTTTAGGGAACCCTAAAAATGATGCACTTTAAACGATAAGAACAAGAAAAAACAAGAAAAGTTTGCAAAAACATAAATAAAAAACGTAAGTTTTTAATAGAATGTGATGAAAGTATCAAGACGGCACATCAAGTTAAGCACTTGTGACATCCCAAGTACCTAGATGCGTAATAAAAACGACTTTGCAACAAGAACACACCCCTTATTCATGTAACAAAACTTCAACGACAACAACACACTGAGTTGCGATCCTATCGAGTAATCGTTCTATCAAAAATTACCCTTGTGAATACGGATTTAGAACTGTTTTTCAATGGGTCGACTACTGAACGTCAGCGAGATCTTGACTGACTGTCAAAATACGTGAATTAGGCCACTGGTCTTCTCTCTAATCTTGGGTGTATGGAACCCGTTATATTTGAGTCCAATTCGCACTCGACCGATTTACAGTCTCATATTAATGAAATATGCAAATTAGAAGTCAGACTGCGGTCAAGTTTAGACCTGCATTAAAATGTCAAACAAGTTTTGATATAGTAGTTCAAACAACATTCCTTATTTGTTTTGATATTACCAACCTGTTCTTGATTCGCGTATGTGAACTTTCAGTTGTTTTAATTATTGAGCGTGTAAGTATTTTTAGAATTTCGGTTCGTGAGAAAAAACTATTTTGTGCATTCAATGAGAACTTATATGTTTACATCTATTACATTTATCGTTTTTTATTTTATTTCCCTATTTTTGGGGCTAAGAAACCAATCTCTACACATACTCGTACCTGTCAAAACTTTTATTAAAACTAGTTCAGTAGTGATAATAATAATGCACCAATATGCAAAAAATGCATTTTTTTTGTATGTCAAATCGATGTTTCACTAATTCCGCTAATTAAACTTTTCCAAACTAATCCAGGGTGGGGTTTACCGTCCTAAATTAGTTAACTTGTCACTCGATATTGTCATTGTTCAATCGTAGGTACTCGTCATCAGTGAATCACATCTCGATGACCCCGGGGAACGACCTACAACTGCTACATGGACTCAACAAAAAATTTACCTCAAGCCGAACGGTATTTAAATCTCGTACATTGCAGGACAAGCTCATAAAGTTTGTGGCGTTTATTCATACAACATACAATAAATAAATAACATAAACTTAAACATGGCTCAAAATCTGTGGATTGCTGTATTGGCGGTTTTGGTAGTGGCAGTGAATAGTCACGTTATCAAATCGCACAAAATGGATCTGTCAAACGGAATGACAGTTGAAGTGATCATTCGCCCTTCGGAGAAAGCTGATACACCAAAACCAGAGGAGCTGGGGAGTCGGGTGTTCCGCAGGACACACGACGTCGTCGTGCCACCGGTGACACCAACACCGAAAACAGATGTGAATGTCGATATCGTCAATCGCTTTGGGATCAGAAGCGGAACGTGCCCCACTGGATATGTGCAAAGAGGCGGATTTTGTTTTCCCGACTACGACTAAAGTGTTTGTTAGTGATTTAAATCTAAGTACATAGTACGAGCCTAAGAAACATTTTTTTTGTTTAGACACTGTATAATATCTAAAAGTCTACTTACTATTGCGACCTATTATTTAAGGCAGCATTTAGAATAACTTCAAAAACGTTGTAAAGATTGTTTTATTAAATGTCTTGTTGGTCCTATTATAATAAATAAATTTTAGGTTAAAATATTTATTATAGTGTAAGTGTAAATATTGTAAATAAATTATGTTGTTTTGGATGTTTGATAATTTGGTTGTATTGTTTTTATTTGCAATTTGAAACAAATAAATCCATTTTAAACCGTGACTTATATATTTCATTTTTAAAATATTCATGAATCTGAAATACACATTAGGTACTAAAATTCTTTATTAGAATTAAATAATTCATATAAAAATGAGTTATTTTTAACAAAAAAAAAATACATTAAATATACTTTTAAGTAGTTTGACATTTACTTTATAATCGTAATAAAGTAAAAGCTTAGAGAAATGATATTGAATTAGTTACAGCTCTACACAACACACGGACGCCATTGAGCTTTCTCTTATTATACCTACATAGGTAGTAGTAGCTACGCTGGTAGGGTAATAATTAACTTTTTTTTAAAAAATATAACCGACTTCAAATGCGTGAACACAAAAAAAAATCAAAATTAAAAAAATTTGATAATACCTATTCAACAAAAAAATAATCGTTCAAATTGGTTCATAATCGGCGGAGATATTGCGTATAAAAAAGTTCATCCCCAATTTTCCACCCTTGGGGGTTGTTTTTTCTATTATTAAATTTAAATGGGACTACCCTTGAGGTATTACCTATACGCCGGCTCGTGTACAGCGCTCATGCACAGCCTCACACTTTAAACGTTTTGATATCATATTATCTATCTATCTATCTATATAAATAAAAATGAATTGTTGTTCGTTAGTCTGATTAAAACTCGAGAACGGCTGGGCCGATTGAGCTGATTTTGGTTTTAAAATGTTTGTCGTAGTCCAGGGTAGGTCTAAACGGTGAGCAAATACGCGCGCGATATTGTTTTTCTGTGACAGACAGAATTCCACGCGGGCGAAGCCGCGGGCGGAAAGCTAGTATTAATATAATTTGGCAAAATGAGTTTGGACTGTTTCTTGCGTAACATTACTTTACCATAATGCCTATAACACATTGTTTTGATTTAAAGTGAAAAATAGGTGGCCCTTGGGCCACCCCTAAGCCGCCTATTTAGTTTTATACACACATAAATGATCTTATATTAATCACATTCACCAAATCATGTGGTAATTATTCATAATAACCGGCGATTATTCATGATTTTCACATTTATCACTTTAACCGTAACATACCTAAATACTAATAAAAACTAAGCTTTTAAAAAGCACTTTTATAGGTCCCAGTATTAACCCTACCACTGCTTCAGGACAATAAATGGGCCAGTGCTGGGAAGAAGCAGCGCAAGAAATTCAGTCACTATTGTCCGCCTCTTACAAATGGAGGTTAGGTGATATCACTTGGGTACTGAGCAACAGAAGTTAATTTTCTAGTAAATCTGACAATACGAGTAGTATAACTTTCACTATTGTTATTGTTCGTTCGTTTGAGCCAAACAAATCCCCCAAGGATGTCACAACATCCGGTCCTACGCTGCCCGCATCCAGGAGCTTTCCGCGACCTTCACCTAATCGTCGGTCCACCGAGTAGGAGTCTTCCCCACACTACGTCTTCCCGACCCACTGTTATTATAACATCAAAGAGCTTTCTGCGACCTTCACCAGATCGTTGGTCACCTAGTGGGAGGCTTGCCACTACGTCTTCCCAATCTATTACTATAACAATCCTTACTGACCCTCGCAATAAAAAGCCAATGACCCATATTTGAATGGAAATGTGGTTTCTAGACATATCGTCACAATGATCACGGCACGTGTGACTCAAATTCTCATGTCTTTGGTTTTATTCTAGGAATTACCGCTTAGCGTAAACCAAATGAATTAATTTAAACCGGTTAGATCAGTGAGGAAGTGAATCTTATGGGTGTGACTGAACTGGCTTGGAAACAAGTGTAAAATATTATTTATAGAATAAGGAAATTTACGCTTAGAATCCCACCTTTTTGTAGATTGACCGATGTTATACGCCTATTGGAAATCCATGGTGATCATTAATTTTGTCAAACACCCATGGGAAATTTCTATGGGGATGTAAGTAATCTAACTCTAGAGTAGAAACCTCGGTTGATACAACTTACCTTGTGTGTATTTGTGCATTAATATAATGTGAGCTTTTACTCCTACACGAGCCATTATTTATGTTCCAGTTATTCTTGTTATTGTAAATCATCATCATCGTCATCATCATCATCGTCATCATCATTTCAGCCATAGGACGTCCACTGCTGAACATAGGCCTCCCCCAATGATTTCCACAATGGCGGCGGCCTGCATTCAGCGCCTTCCCCCTACCTTTATGAGGTCGTTGGTCCACCTTATGGGTGGACGTCCTACACTGCGCTTTCCGGTACGTGGCCTCCACTCCAGAACCTTGCTGCCCCATCGGCCGTCAGTTCTGCGTAGGTACTATATGCCCTGTCCTGCGTATTATTGTAAATAATAATATATGAAAATATCTAGTTTATTGTTCTGCCCATACTGGTACCTATACCTAACGGTATAAGTATTAATAGTTCTTCAAGATATCACTTTTAGGCTGGGTTGCCATATTGCTTTACATAATGTGGTGCAACCCAGCTCAAAGTGATTGGCCGATGTCATACGCCTATTGGAAATCCATGGTGATCATTAATTCTGTCAATGGGGAATTTCTATGGCGGTTTTAATCTAGGTACCTATAGAGTAGAAACCTCGATTGATACAACTTGTTTACCTCTGTAAATACAGTATAGAAGTAGACGAAGAACCGTATTTAATCTATCTGAGCTTTTACTCTTACAAGAGTCAAAATTGATGCCATAGATATAACCTGTTACTTTAATAATAACTAATGAAAATATGTAGTTTATTGTTCTGTCCATAATCTGTTGATAGTTTTTTAAGATATCACTTTTGGGCTGGGTTGCACCATATTACGTATTTTAAAGTAAAATTACTTTTATGCTTCAGTCTAGAACTTACCCATATCACATTAAAGTAATATGGTGCAACCTGAGTCATGTCATCGGACATCAGTATACTTCCCACACGTTAGAAGAAACATTTTTATTTGGGTTTTCACTAGTAGAAAGTTTCGTATAATTATTACGGCGCTGAATTGTGTAGTTACTGAAATTACGTTTCTATTAGTAAATTATTAATGAGAATATCCGTAAGGAAAATCTACTTAAATTACATACTTACCGCAATTTATATGCGTACACAATTAATTATTACACATTATTAGGTCATCAATTAAGTACTTATTAGGAAGTTATTTGGATTTGCGTCAAAATAGATTTTTTTACGTATATTACGAGTAAATTGTAACAAATTAACTATCCTTCCAAATACTATGGTAAGAATAAAAACAATGAATATATTATGTCACTAGCATACTCAAATTGAAGACTACTTAATCAACATTTACCGTTACCAATGAGCTGTAGCGTAAAAGTGCTCTATTATTTTATTTTAATGAAAACAACAAACAACTTAATATCAACTACCGTTGTTGCCATGTCGTAGTACTGCCTATAGTAATAAGATATGTTTAACTATATAGGGTTTTCCCCCTAACTTTAGGTATTTCACGCCACGTGCGTAACCGGTTTTCATTTACTACACTCGTGATTAAGGTAAAGTAATAAATTAAAAGGTAAATTATGCAAAACGTTCGTATCAAAAAACCGAGTTGTTGTATTTTGTGTCACAGACTCGTGCCGTCACAATGAATCACGCGCACGCGTCGCGGGGTAACGACATACGCAACGGGAAACTTCGTCAAGCTAAAACTTCATATATAAGCGAGCATATTCTACCCCAGAGCACATAAACAGTCTTCCCCTCATAACAGAAGCATCATAACATAACAAAAAACCAAAATGAATATATCTATGCTTTTGCTTTACTCGTTGGTGGGCTGCATCCAAGGCTACATAATCAGGTCAAGCCAGTTCGAGCTACCGCCACAGGGGATGGCAGTTGAGATCTCCATCAAACCAAAAGACGATCACAGTTTCGTTGTGGACATTAAAGAAGATACTCAAGATAGAATCTTGAAGGCGACTCATGAAAAAACTTTTTTGAAGACCAAGAGTTTTCTCCCTGAGATCCTGAAGGAAAGCGTGAAGATGACTAGTGAAAAACCTAGCTTGAAGATTGGACCTTTTCTGCCTACGATAGAGAAACGGCTCGGGATTATGGCGGGGACATGCCCCACGGGCCATGTGGCTAGAGGCAGTTTCTGTTTTCCGGATTACGACTGAAACCTGAAGAGGATAATAATTAGTTGTTAAGTCGTTTCAACCAAAGATCGTAGACTGCTGGACAATGGTCTCCCATAATGCCAAAACGATCCGTCCTGCGCTGCCTGCATCCAGGCGCTTCCAGTGACCTTTTCTACCAGTTCGTTCCAAAGATTGAGAGGCCTGCCCACCGATTGGGAGGATTTGTTATTTAATTGTTAATTATTTATTGTTATTGTTAATAAATTATTTGCTAGTCAAACTTTTGTTGGTTTTGTATTATCCCAAAAGATGATGCCCTTCATCCTTGACTTGACAATACCCAGATCACATCAGAAGAAATTGACTGGCATAGTTTCAGTCACTAGTGTTTGCATAACATTACATAAAAAGTCGCAATTAATTTTGCTCTATACTGTTAACGTGCAAATTATGATGAACAGCTATTTGAAACTTTCCAGTTAATAAGAAAATATGGTAATTTTTAGCTAATTGACAGAATTCATATACTTTTTTAACCAAAACGAAGAAGTCAGCCAGCATATCACCTGATGCAAAGTAATGATCAGACCTAAGGTGGATGTGCCTGGAAACACGACTTTAAATCTTTCAAACATATGGATGTGGTACGTATACTACAATGTTGCTGTAAATTATTGAAGATAACTGCCTATTATGTCCATAAAAGGTAAAGTCAGGTAAAGTATATTTCGTTATACTGGTTGTTTAGTTTCATTAAACTGAGATGCATTCATTTCTTTGTAAATTTCATAAAAATGTGTTCCATTTATTCGGCTATATGAACTGAACATAACTTAATTTTTGATATTTTCGGAGTCGGTGCCAGCCTACCCAGTGCCAAGACTTGGAAATAACTGTAATTTTATTTTTGTAATGAAACAAATTAAGATTCATTCTTTTTTTGCCAATAATACAAAAAAATGAAACATTAACGAAGTTATTGAGAACCTCCTCCTTTTTTGCAGTCAGTTAATAATGTAGAGTCTCCTGTTGCGGATAACTGAAAACACTTTTTTTTAATTAATGCCATTTTTTTTATTTCTAAAAGCAAATCAGCAAGTAGGCCGATACTATGTTGCCTATTTATGCTTACTGCAAAAGTAGAGAGTGACGTAGAATACGTCGACAATCATAACTTAATACGAGTATGTACAAAATAATGTATTACCAATTCATTAGTAATTTGTGTTCTTACGTCACATTATTTTCATGGTCCTTCGTGCACTAATGAATGATGCAATATACTTGATTCAATTTCAGTATCAACAGGTTAATAATTGTATGTAACTATGAACGTTATATCTACTTTATCTATATCTATACTAACTTACTAACTAATATTATAAATGCGAAAGTAACTCTGTCTGTCTGTCTGTCTTGTTTTCACGCCTAAACCACTGAACCGATTTTGATGAAAGGCATAGAGATAGTTTGAGTCCCGGGAAAGGACATTGATAGTTTTTATCCTGGTTTTTGAACAGGGACGCGCGCGATAAAGTTTTTCTGTGACAGAAAAAATTCCACGCGGGCGAAGCCGCGGGCGGAAAGCTAGTATTTTATAGTATGGATAGCAGCACATCAGATTATACATTTTTGTTGCAATATCGCCCGTGTTACAACTGCATAAGATCCCACAGTTTTTAGATTGATATGCTGTCGACTGTACTTAGCACATTTGTGTTCGTTTGTGATTCGAACCCGCTACCTTAGACGACGTCGACCGGACTTTCTCGTACACTATGCCGCTACCAACCGGGCAACATGGAAACCATTGGGGAGGCCTCATGTTCAGCAGTGGACGTCCTATGGCTGAGATGATGATGATGATGATGATGACACTATAAGGAGAGTTATGTTTATCTGTTATACTTTCGATATTCATGAAAGTTATGTACCTAATAGACGGATAGGCACACACAAATGTGTCAATTACGTTTTTACAAGAAATAAAGAAAGATTTAGATATCGAAGCCATTGTTGAATTCCTCCCACTTATGGCGAGTGACGGAGCACCGGGGTCTTTTTAGTGGGTATGCCTCGTCCTTCTGACTTGGTGAGCCCCACATAACCTACCCTGTCCCCGCAGGGTAGGTATGCGATTCAACGCATTTTTCCCCGTAAAAAGGTTTACAACAATTACCGTCATTGTGGTGTAATAAAAAATGACAATTATGGTAAGGACATTATTATGAATGTGTCATTATCAAACGTGTGATATACCTACTAATTTTACAGGAAAATTGAGAACTATATGCATATAAAACAGTAAGGCATCCCTTGCTAGAGTCACTTAGAGCTAACACTCGAGTAGTGCGACAAGTCGCGTAAAGTCAGCGTCAAAGTTTAAGAATCCACCTCGAAAAATGGCATTTGTGAAATGTGTAATCGCCCTGCTCATTATTGCTATCAGCATAGAATTGACAATCGGATATCCTGGAGTATTGGTGCGTCTTGAAGACACTGGAGCGACATACATCGATGAGGATATAACAGATGGTGTAGAAGATGGTCATAGTCAGCTCGAGTTGGACGACCGTCAAGGGATAATTCACTCTGGACAATGCCCTGTAGATTATGTATGGACTGGGAGTCGCTGCATTCCAGATTATGAAGATAAAGAAGATGGTCCAGAAGATGTTGAATATTCGAACTAATGTACCTCATAAATGCGAAATTAACTCTGTTTGTTTTACGTTCTGAGATGGTTTAAGACCGCCGTTAAGTTTTGTACCGCCTACTTTATTCTCAGTTTGACCCTAAGGTTGGCTGGAGGAGAATGCCGTATGGCATTAAGTTCGCCTTATGTACAGTGTTTTATGTGTGCACGTAGTTTTTAAATAAATACATAAATCAGACCCAGGGAAAACATAGGATTGTTGTAAACCCACTTTTGGAAAGGCGGATACAGTTATGTCTTTTTTATGAAAAAAGTATCGGATTCAGTGAAGTTTATTATGGGTACAAGTATTTAACAGTGGCATTATAATATAATACTTTGGTAATCATGCCACGAGGAATGATATACACCATTCAGTGTACCTACTTAATTATATTATATTTTAGTTTTCAACCCTACTGTGTGTATAAGACTTATTTACTTTTGTTATGATTGTGCACGAATAAATAAAATTAATTAATCTTTATTTCTCTAGTTTTATTTATTTCTATTGATAGTAACTATAAAAATCATATTGTCAGCAAATTAATCGATCATTCATTTGATAAACTTATATCTTTTATCTAATTATTTACAAAAGCTTTTTGTATTAAAAAGTAGAATAATAATTTTACGACTGTTCAACGCTACCTTTTAGAAGTAGAATAGACTAAAACTTTCACGACGCACGGCCTGAAAAATGAGCAGCTAGTTTATTTCTTGCTGCATAGATGGCGTGACGCGTCTTAAGAAAGCTTATGAAACCAAAATAGCAAAACAAAGTCACCCTGTATTTTAGACTTATTTTCTGTATTTAAGAGCGTTTACGCCGTTTGGCGCAAAAACAGTACTTTTTCAACTCGTTACAATAATTAACCAGTAATACTACAAATATGTTAAAGGCATAAATAGTTAGGCAATTTCGTCGTCTAAATAGTTAATTGAGAAAATATTGCGATTAGTTTAGTATTTAAGAATTCTATCAAGATAAGTCCACACAGGTTTTGTAAATTTCCACTTTAGCGTCAGTTTACAAGCTGAAATTTTTATAAAAATACTGTGAAAACGATTTAACAAACATTTATATCCTATAGCATAGATCCTTGGGCAAATAGTTATCTGAGAAAATTTTTAGATTTAAGCATTTTACAATAAGAAATCACAAATTAAAAAAACGTGAAATACCCAAAAATCAAAGTGATTTTTTCACCAATATTCTTCCTTTATTCAACACAAAAATAGCTTAATATAATAGAAGAATATCTTATCTAAAATATTTACTTTGAAATTTAAAATAATTCATTGTAATTTTTTTTCTATGAGTATTTGAAAAGTACTATAAAACGCCGCGCACGAATCGTTCAAATTCAGTCCGCCTCGAGGCGTTCCAGAGTGAGGTCACGTCGCTCGGTGCTCTGCTGACATGTGTCACGCGTACGTTGATCTTTGACAGGTAGCTGGACTTTTATAGTGTATCCGCAAAATCTTGGTGGTAGATTTTGCGATCACGTGGTAATTAAAATATTTTATTGTTATTTTTCATTACAGTCTATTTTTACTACAAATTCTATTTCAGAAGTTACAGAATAGTTAATAGGAATGCTCTGCCAGCAGGGTGCCACCTAGTTGTAGAGGGAACATACACAACATATTACAGTCGGAAAATCTTTGCGGTAGGTACCTCGGATTGTAGTTAGTTGGACAGTGGTCATTTGACGGTCACTTGAATCGTCTCACCACTAAGCTTTTGGCTACCGCCGGCGCACTAAGCCGGTTGATGCCTAATCTCGGAGGCCCGGCTGCACTGAGTCGCTGACTATACTTTTGCGTCGCGCGTTATATGGTCCTATATGGGGCTCGAGTATGGCACAGTGCTGTGGAGTTGTGGAGCATCCTACTGTTCAAAAAAGCGCAACGCGTGATATCACTGAGGCACAGGCTGAGGTAATTGTGGATACCGCATAGTATCCGCAGTCCGTGTATTCCCGGTTGTGGACACTGACTATGTCCCTACTGAGGATAAATGGGAAAAAATTATTGTCATTAGTGGTGACGTACAACAATCCTACTAATATTATAAATGCGAAAGTTTGGATGTCTGGATGTTTGTTACTTTTTCACTCAAAAACTACTGAACGGATTTTGTTGAAACTTTACAGTATTATTGTTTATAAACCAGATTAACATATTTATATGCTACTAGCTTTCCGCCCGCGGCTTCGCCCGCGTGGAATTTTGTCTGTGACAGAAAAACTTTATCGCGCGCGTCCCTGTTTCAAAAACCGGGATAAAAACTATCCTATGTTCTTTCCCGGGACTCAAACTATCTCTATGCCAAATTTCATCAAAATCGGTTGCGAGGTTTAAGCGGGAAAGCGTAACAGACAGACAGACCGACAGAGTTACTTTCGCATTTATAATATTAAGTTGGGATAGTTGGGATAATTTATGACGATATGTAACAAATAAATTTCAATAAATAAATAAGACGTGTCTAAAAAGCGCAATCTATCGTCATTGGTTAAAATCTACAGTGCTGGAGAAACTACTGTTTTTG